CACAAAAATATAAAAAGGAGTAGGCTAGAGCTAGATTGATGCCATCCAGTTCTTTGAGACTAAAGGAGCTCAGAGTCCCTTAACTGAGAGGCCTCTAACCCGCTTTGGCAGCTGAGTCCAGCTGCAACTTTGAAAACCACTCAGAATCTGGGGAACCATAACATACTCCAAACACACAAACAATGTTTCAGCCTTTCCAGAGACACTGGAGTGATATAGACCAGAGTTCAAAGCCAAACATATTTTTCCACAGATACTTATTAAACAGGACAATGAATAGATAGATAAGGTCCACACCCTGTTTGAACTTATCCTCTAGCTCTCTCGCTTACTATTGGGGTGCCCTTGAGTAAGTCACTTTACTTCTATGAGTCTGGGTAGGATTTATTCCAAAGAATTCTTGCATGAGCAAATGAGAAATTGTATCTAAAGCATTTAACACACTATATATTATAGAAAGTTCTCAACAAATGGTTATTTTGATTATATTTGTTATCCTGTGATCTTGGAGGTATAGCAAAACAGTCTGCACTGGCCATTCATTCTTTAGAGTAATGCCAAAGGACAGGAAAGTCAATTTAAAAATTCTAGCTCAAATTTTCTCTAATTTCACCATTATCTGCTTACAAACATCCAGGCTTTTATTTCCAATTCAGTTTATGTAATTTTTCTCTGAATTATTAGCCACTGGGGAGAATAAAGAAAGAATGTAAGAATCAAAGATTTGTTACTTAGGCTTCTCTGGGTGGGGGTTATGTGTTGCTATGCTTTCACTTGTGGAGCAGAGGTAGATTGTTTAGTCCAGAGCCAGTTTCACAGCGATAAATGTATACAGTATAAATGTACTGCTCTTTCCCACCACCATACACAGTTACAAGAAATGTTCATGGTTAGTGAGTGACCTGGATCTCAGAAAAGAAGTAGCCATGTTCTTGGGGAGAAAAGAGCCAGTGAGAGCGTGGATTTAGGCCGGGAAGATGGCGGTGAGATAGGTGGGAGCAGAGTCCACTTCCCCGCACACAGGTGAAACACCTGGCTGATCTTCTGAGGAACAGAGCAAACAGCCAACAGTATCCCAGCATATATGAAGATTGGAGACCAAAAATTGTAGCGGACATTGAAAAACCAGATGGTAAGGAGAGTGCTTCAGGACAATAAGGTCCCCGGTTCCAGCGTGGGGACCAGGGCATCTACAGCCCCAGGTCTGGCACCCGCCAGGTCTGCCGCGGGGTTCTTGGGGGAGAGCTGGGTCAACAGCTCCCTCCCCCGAAACAAGGTTCGAGTAGCACCAGGATGGACCTGGTTGCTTAAAGTTGCAGGAGGGCAATAAGGATGAAGTGGTAAACACACAGAGGCTGTGTGCACCCGCTGAGACTGTGGACACTGGCTGGGGAGTGTTGGGCCCTGACGGACCCTGACCTGGTCAGTCCCCAGTCTGGTTGGAGAGGTGGGCTGTGTGAGAGGCCAGGCCTTTAATGGAGTGGAGTGGCAGGCTTGAGCAGGAAGAATTTTTCAAAAAAGAAAAGTGAAAAAAGAGGCATTCCATGGCAGTTTGGGGAATTCTCCTGCAGCAGCCACCCCGACCTCTGCTCCCCTAACCCTGCCCAGCTGTGCGGTGCTCCTGAGGTGGCAAAGAAGGCCCCGCGCTCAAGCGTGGAAGAGAGTGCTCACCCGAAGCTGCAGGTTGGGTGGCTTCCTGTCCCGTCAAACCCGTAGGCCCGGGATGAGGGAACCTGACCCCACTGCCCAGAGACACTGCCCACCCAAGGGGGGGGGAGCAGTAGAGGAGGCGCCCACCTGCATTCACAGCGGCAGCCACAGTGGCAGCCCTACCTTGCAGGGCCAACTGGCTCTCTAAGAGGAAGGCAGAGACAACCTCTGCAAAGGAGAACTGCAGGGCTCAGGGAATCATCAATCCCCAGAAAGACTTAACTCAGTGGGAGCGGGGGCTGAATTCGCCTGAGTGTTGAGAGTCCCTAGCATCTAGGACAGCAAAGAATGAGAAGGTGGTGACTTGCCCCAGTTGGTGCGCCTCAAGGACAGCGCAACTGATGGACTGAAGGCCTAGGCTGGGCGCAGAAGGGCAGCTTCTGGGCAGGCTTTCAACACACAAAAGCCCTGGACCAAATGGTTTCACAGGAGAATTTTAGAAAGTATTTAAGGAAGAGATAACCCCCCATCCTCCACAAATTATTCCAAAAAATTCAAGAAGATGGAAGACTCCCAAACTCTTTATATGAAGCCAGTATCACCCTAATCCCAAAACCAGATAAAGATATGATAAAGACATTACAAAGAAATAAAACTTGAGGCCAATATCACTGATGAACATAGATGCTAAAATCTTCAACAAAATATTGGCAAACTGCATCCAGAAAAGCGTTAAAAAGATCATACACCTTGACCAAGTGGGATTCATCATAGGGATGCAAGGATGGTACAATATTCACAAATCAATAAACATAATACACCACATAAGTGAAACAAGAAAAAAAATCACATGATCATATCAATAGATGTGGAAAAAGCATGTGATAAGGTACAGCATCCATTTATGATAAAAGCACTTAGCAAAGTGGGAATAGAGGGAGCATTCCTCAACATAATAAAGGCCATATATGAGAGACCTACAGCCAACATCATACTCAATAGGCAAAAACTTAGAGCTTTCCTGCTAAGATTAGGAACAAGACAAGGATGCCTGCTTTCACCACTCCTATTCAACATAGTACTGGAAGTGCTAGCCATAGCAATCAGACAAGAAAAAGAAATAAAAGGCATCCAAATTGGAAAGGAGGAAGTAAAACCATCATTGTTTGCAAATGACATGATAGTGTACATAGAAAATCCCATTGACTCCACCAAAAACTACTTGACCTAATAAATGAATTTGACAAAACAGTGGGATACAATGTCAATATCCAGAAATCAAAGGCATTTTTCTACGCCAACAGTGAAATATCAGAAACAGAAATCAGAAAAAAATATCCCATTTAATATAGCAACAAGAAAAATAAAATACCTAGGAATAAAAATAAGAATACCTAGGAATACCTAAGAATACCTAAAAAATAAGAGTACCCAGGAATACCTAGGAATACCTCCTAACCAAGGAGGTAAAAGACCTATACTCAAAAATTATACAACACTGAAGAAAGAAATTATGGAAGACGCAAACAAATGGAAGCATATACCATGTTCATGGACTGGAAGAATTAACATCATCAAAATGGTCATACTACCCAAAGTGATTTATAGAGTCAATGAAATCCCTATTAAAATACCGATGGCATATTTCACAGATATAGAACCAACATTTCAGAAATTTATATGGAACTATAAATGACCCTGATTAGCTTCAGCAATTCTGAGAAAGAAGAACAAAGCAGGAGGGATAACAATACCTGATATCAAACTGTATTACAAAGCCACTGTAATCAAAACAGCCTGGTACTGGCATAAAAATAGGCACATAGACCAATGGAACAGACTGGAGAGCCCAGAAATAAACCCAAATATCTACAATCAATTAATATTTGACAAAGGGGGGGAAGAAGCATAAAATGGAGTAAAAATAGCCTCTTCAACAAATGTGTTGGGAGCTCTGGACAGCTACATTCAAAAAAATGAAATTTGATCACCAACTTACACTATACACAAAAATAAATGCAAGGTGGATAAAAGACTTAAATATAAATCATGACACCATAAAAGTCCTAGAGGAAAACATTGGCAAAAAAATCTCAGACATTCCATGCAGCAACATTTTCACTGATATGTCTCGTTTATGCAAGGGGCATAAAGGAAAGAATAAACAAATGGGAGCTCATCAAATTAAAAAGTTTCTCTATGGCTAAAGAAAACAGCATTAAAATGCTGTTTATAGACTTGAAGTTTGGCTTGAAGTCTGGCTTTTTGTACTTATCATCACTTAGTGTAATTTAAGATCCTGCCGTGTTGTTGCACACATCAGTAATCCATTCCTTTTCATTTCTGGGCAGCAGTCTACTTGTGTAGATGCAACCCCTTAGGCATTCATCACTTTTTATGGGGCAATTATAAGAAAAGCAGCTATATCTTGCTCGCCTGCAGGTTTCCTGAGGGTCTTCATTTTTTATTTCACTTGGATAAACATTTAGGAGTGGGATTGCTAAATTGCATGGTAAGGCTATGAAAAATTGCCACACTGCTTTCCCATCAGCAGTGTGTGAGACTGCTAGCTGTTCTGCACCCCTTGCTAACACTTGGTATTATCAGATTTTGTTTTGTTTTCAATGTTAGCCATTCTGATAGATGTGTAAAGGTATTGCATTACAGTTTTGATTTACATTTCCTAATGACTTTTCCAGGGTTTATTTGCCATCTGTATATGGGTGTTTTTTTTATCCTCACCCAAGGACATGATTATTGATTTTAGAGATGGGAAAGGAAAGGAGACATTGATTGGTTGCTTCTCATAGCAATCAATCAAACCTGCAGCCTAGGCATGGGTTCTGACTGGGTTTACAACCATTCTCACTTCACAGGATGCCAGTCTAATCAAGTGAGTCACACAAGCTTGGGGCCATTGTATATTTTTCTTTGTTAAAGTGTCTGTCAAATATTTTGCTTATTTTGTTATTGGGTGTCTGTTTTCTTCTTAGTGAATTTTGAGAGTTCTTTGTATGTTCTGAATAAAAATCTTTTTATCAGATATAAGTTTTGCTAATATTTTCTACTGTTCTGTGGCTTGACTTTTAATTTGTTTAAAACTTCTCTTGTTTTAAAACCAAATTCCCCCCTCTCACTTTTCAAATGCTTTAAAGTGGTTTAATAAACATAGGTGTCTGAGGGGGAAACTTCATGGTTTGTCTATAATTGCAGAGGGGGCTTCCCCAGACACTGAAATCTTTCACTGACCAGTGACTCTGGTGAAGACCAATGGCCTGGTTCTTTCAGGCTCTGACATTTTAAGAAGTTGTGCACGTGTGTATCTCTGACTATCTTCTCTCTGGGCTCCTCCTCCCCTCTGCAGAGAGATATGCTTCTCCTTTTAGCTCTCTCTGCACTGGTGGCCAGAACAGCACAGCTCCCTCTCTGAGTCAGAGCTACCCTGAAAGAGCTCAAGGCCCGCAGAAGGGGAGGCACCTGGAGGACTGAGAGGATGGGGAACTCTCTCCTGAGAGAAAACAGGTGAGTCCAGGCTCCCTAAGAGGGACCAGAGGAGATGGGTCTGGGCAACGTAGTCAGAAAGTGAAAAAGAGGTCTGCTTTTAGGTGGAAAAGAAATTGAGTAAGAAACTGATGAGGATGAAGGGCCTCCTACTATGCCATACACCAAGTTCAATTCCTTACAAGTGTGGCCTTCTCCCAAGACCACAGTGAGCAGCTGGTGGAGAACAGCTGAGAGGGAGAGGACTTTGTCAATGGAGGTCTAGGCCACAGACCATCACCTGGGAAATGGAACAACTTTCTGAGACCCAGAAGGGACGCTCTCCTGAGCTCTTAATGACCTACAAAGGGCTCAGAGATACCACCACCTTTTTAATCACTGTTTAAGTTCAAAATAAATCACAAACTTCCCACCATTATGAGGTCATGCCTGGTGCACACTTCCTGCAACAGGTAAGCAGAGGTCATTGAAACTGGTAGAGAATTTGGCTTAAGTTTTCTGGACCCCAGTTTCCTCATTTCAAATGGAAATAATAATATAATATGTAGTTTGGAGGGTGATAGTGTGTGTGATGCTAGTACATAGTTCTTGACACACAGTCAGGTTCAATAATTAGAAGATATTTTTTTCTGGGGCCATCATGTTCAGTAACATCAAAGCAGTCATTGTATCACCAAAACAAGGAATCCCTAGGGTACAAAGCAAGGTGACCTAGGGAAAATGAGCTAATGAGGTCAGGGGCAGGGTGTCTTTACAGAATTATGCTTGGTGTCCCAGGTCTTGGTTCATCAGTTCGTGCCACTGGGAGCTACAACAAAATCCAAAATGCCACCTGCCGAAAGGAGGCTTGGGGAGCCTGTGACTTGTCTCCTGCCCGCCTCCTGAGAGCCAGTGAGCGCTGTCTGAGACCTCGCTTCCCAAATCCTCACAGTCCTTGGTCACTCTGCTACTCTGATTCTTTTATCAGATTATAAATTCCTGTTTTTGTATCTAGATATGAGATCCTCAAATAGAGAGATCGTTTCCTATTCATCTTTGAATCCTTGTTGTCAGACATTATTTCTGATGTATTGTAGCTACTCAGTGTTGGGTGAATGGTTGGAAATGTGGAGAAATACTGTTGAGAAGAAAAATAAAACTAAATGCAGATAGACGTGACTGAGAAAGTCATTATTGATGTCACATCTGTATTTTTGTTGTTTAGAACTGTGATGTGGGGGTAAAGGTTTACGACATGAATACTGTTGTAAAAAATTAGAAAATATGTAAAGTATAAACAAAGAAATAAAGTGGTAAATCACAGTTATAACTGCTGATAATGGTAGATTCATTATCTTTGCCAATATCTATATTTTCTAGCCATTTGTATTCCTTCATCTGAGTCAATAATGTCCTTAGCCCATTTTCATTTTGGATTTTGGTCAACTTTGTTTTACTGAGAGTAAATTTTATTTGTATTTTGAGGGAATTAACCACTGCTCATTAATATTACAAAAAATATTTTTCAGTCTGTGTTTCTTGTGCCATCCAGACTTTTTAATGTTTTTCTTATTCTATTTTAAACACATTTGAATTAAATCTAGAATGCCTTTTGGTTTCTACCAATTTATGCTGAAAATTCTTTCCCTACGCCAATATAAGGCAAATCCACACTATGATTTCTATGGCTGTATTGTTTTATATTTAGCCTCATATATTCAATATATGGTATCAGATATACCTCGTAAATATTTTTTCAAAAATACTAGTTAATAGTTGGCCCAGCATCTTCATTTCCATGTTGATTCAAAATGTCCCTTTTAATATATTCAAAAGCCTCACATTTACTTGCATCTGATTTTCAACTTCACTCCTACTACCCGGTTATCATGCAGTCTGCACACCGTACCATGTCTCTCCGGATCAAATCTGTTACAAAAGCCAGGAAAATTTCCCACACGCCCTCCCTCCAGTCGGAGGGAGGCTCTTTTCTAAGCTACTTATTCATTTATCATATATTTATTAAAAGTATAGTTGCTACGTGCCAGACACTGGGGCCTATGTTGGTGCTATACACCACGATGAACAGATAAATATGGTCCCCCACCTTGTGAAGCTCACAATCCAGTGTGGGATATACAGAAGTGAACAGGCAATTATAATATGGTGTGTATAGGAGAAATTCAGAGTGCAATAGAATCCTTTATAAATATTGCCTGACCCATACCTGGAAGAAATTTCTATAATGTCCACACACTATACCTTGCTTTCCTGGAGGTAACTCTTGTGTGTCCTTCAACACAGGAGCCAAGTAAATCACTGGAAGTGAGCATGAGAGACCCTTTCCCTTTCCAGAGAACACAGCAGACAGTTTCTTCCCTGACAGTGTCATCTTCAATAGTCCCAAAGGGCTGGTTAATGTCCTGGAAGGACAAAGGCATTCTAGCAAGATAGATGTGTCTAGAATGAATGAATACTCATTCGATGATCTAGAATGAATACTCTCTTGGAGAAAAAGAAAAAAGAAAGATGTTTCACAGAAATGGCAGAGGGAATAGAGTCACCCCAACAAAGCTGCCGAAGTTAACCGTGTGATTTGTATCATCTCTCAGGTATTTTAGGCGCTGGGGCCGCCACTTCACAGAAGGGTGTTTCTGCCTTCCATGGTGAGTGGAGCATGAAACATGAGCGTTGTTTTCTGGAGTTATTTCCTGAAGTGTGGTTTCAGTGTGTCATTTGCTGTAAGTTACCTGTTAACTACCCTTTGTCTGTGGCCACAGTGGAAGCCTGTCACTAGCCCGGATAATCATCTGAGAATCGGTCAGGGAAGCGATGCTTCGAGCTTGCTGAGAAACAGGAACAGCAGTCTCATGGGTGGTACGTGCTCCTCAAATAGGAAAACCATGGCAGCAGGGATGAAACTGGCTACCCATGCAGAGAAAGCCCCCTTAGCCACGCTGCAAATCCCAGAGTCTCCGTGTACGGAAGTGCACATTTCTGTCCCTTGCACAGAGAATTTATAACCAGGGTAATTATCCACCCTGGGAGAAACCTTTGAGAGTGAAAATAGGTAAGGATCGCTAAGTGATTGGTATCGACATTAACTGGACTGTCATAGCAAACCATGACATATGGTCATTCTCCTGAGAGCAGATGTCATCCTTGGCTACTGAGATGACAATGAGCTTCTATTACATTTATATAATGTTTTTTTCAAGGAGTCATCTATATAGTGTGATTACCTCTGTGCTCATATTGGACATATCTGTTTGTGTGTTTGCTTGTTTGTTTGGAAATCATAGATTGGGGTTAGGGCTGGGGCTGGAAAAAACCATGGCTTCTTAACTCACATGCTATGAAAGAAATCAGTATTTTGTCATAAAAATATCTCCAAAAATGTTACCTATAACATCGCCATAATTCCCCATCTATACAGCAATTTTCTATCAGCCTTAGAAAAGGGAGAAGAGAAACACAAAAAAGTGTCTCTGTCTCCTTCACTTTTTCTTTTTTTTCTATCCTCTTATTTTACCTATGCTGAAGAAGACATTATAAAGGCCTATACCTTCAACAAATAAAAGAGTTAAAAATAAGTTTTTATAAGGAGTATAATTTCTGTTGAGAGTTTCTGAACAATGAAACAACCAATCCTCTTTCTTTTACAGGAAAAAATTACCCATTTTTAAAGCCAGACAAGATTTCCCAAAGGAAAGTAAGTTATTGCTTTCATATCGCTTTCACTTTTGATAGACTTGCATTTCCAAACTGCCCCTTCTCTATGTTTCCAAAGCACCTTGGGCGTATTTCTATGAAACTTACACATTTTGCTTCAACTGGTCCAATTGCATGTCTTTGTTTCCCCACTTGACTGTGAGCTCCTTGAAGGAGGGACTGGCTGATTGGTGTCCGTATCTTTCAGTTAGTCCCTGAGGTTTGGAGGCTGAAGGAGTGAACTGGGAACAGTAAGCACAAAAGGTGGATTGCAGGGGCCCTCAGAAGGAGCAGCAAGGAGGCCGGCCTGGGCACAGAGAACACACAGCACGGGCAGGGAGCGCCTGGTCATCAAGTTTAGTAATGGAGCTTTTGTCTTGAGACTTTCAGAAAGTACTGAAAGGCTTTGCAATAAAAACACCACCCAGGTTACTCTGCAGAGAACGTATTGTGGTAGGGACTGGCCAAAGCAGATGCTGGAAGACCACAGAGAAGCTGGTGCAATGGTGTCTGGAGACACAACAGGGCTGAAGTTAAGGAGAAAGAAGAATTCGAGGAGAGGGTAGCGAATGAAATCATATGTAAGGAAGAGACTAAGAAAGCTTAGGCCTGACGAGAGGTCACTGCATTTCTAAGGAAGAAAAACAAAGTTTGCATTTTCCTTCCTGGGTTTACAGAGGAGAGCCTAGTTCATTGACTCCGAGTCTCAGAAACTGACCCTGTCAGGTGTGCGAATAATGGAGGACTGCCACCCCTGGCCGGTTCACGGGGGAACTGTGGTTCCTGGGAAACCCCAATCTGCGTCAGAGCAAAACATGGTAAAAATAAGACCTCTTCTGCGGCAACTCGCAGTCCCTCTCCCTGTAGCGACGGTCAGGGCAGTCCTAGACAGCCGTGGGGCTCTGTGGAGATGTGAGCGTCTGGGTGTCAGTGCTGAGGGGGTGTAACTCCAAATGCAGATGCTCACGGCCCACCCACCTCCTGTGTAGGGTGGGTTCCATGGGAAAGCACGGATTTTATATGCTTATTGAGCTGGTGTGTTTGCAAAAGGGTAATAAGTATGTCCGTTTGCCTCTTCGTTGAATGACCACAGCCAGTTGCCTTTAAGTAAACCGGCTTTTGAAAACTTGGGCTGCCAGCAGGTTCAGGAGTCGGAATGCTCGGAGTGTCCTCAGCAGTGCTTTCCTGGAGCTCCTGCCCCCACACTCTCACCCTCCCCTGGTACCTACAGTAAAAACTACAGCCCTCCCCTGAGTCGTGGGCCTCTCTTAGGCCCTTGTCTGCCTCTTGTGCTAGTGTGCGAGCCCCTTAAATGCAGGGTGTTTCTGTCTTTGTCTCCTCAATGCCTGGCACATGCAATGAATTTTGTGTAAGGAAGGAGAGAAGGGAGAGAGCAAGAGGGAAGTGTGGGAAGAGAGGGAAGAGCTCTGGCTGTGTCCTGTTTAGATGGCCCTGTCATTCCCTGGGGATGTGCCATAGGTCGGACAGTCTAGTAAGGGCTATCCCAGCTGTTCTGATTTCTCACATCCATGCCCCTCTTTAAGGCTCTTCACGACCTGAAATTCATTGAGTGTTTTCTTCCTCCAGGTGAAGGAACATCATCTGCTACCAACCAGGTATTATGAACATCTCTAAGCCGTTCCCTAAGTTGACAGTAAAAATGTAGACATTCCAGATGGCAGAAGTTGACCTGCAAGACCCCTTTTGACCTTAACAAGAAAGAAAGACTTTATTTAGATGCTCATGTTTGTAAGCCCAGGGGTGTATGCGGGCCTGGTGGCAGGAATAGCAGCCACCTTTGTTGCCCTGTTCATTGAATGAAACAAATATTTATTGAGCACTTAGTTTGTGCCAGGCAGTGTGCTGAGTGCTCCACATGCATCGCCTCACAGAACTGTCACCACAGCCCTTTAAGATCGGTACTATTATTTCTGCCATTTTATAGGTGAAAAAACAAGAGATGAAGTGAAATTCCCCAAATCTAAATAGCTTTCAAGGCGGCAGGGGCCTAATTCAGAAGCAAGCCTCCCTCCCAAATCTGTGCTGTTTACTGAGTACTTTGCTGCTTTGCCTTTAAACTTCTGAAAACTTCATTGAATGAGACCTCCTCTTGCATTATCTCCCTTTATATTAATGCAAACCTTTCTAGAATGGGTGGTTAAATATCATAAGCCATTCAGTAATATTTAGGTGTCATCCGAGCATTCTTTTTTTTTTTTGTAAGAATGGGCTGCTTTCAGGGCCTGAGACTGGGAATTACATGGAGTGGTCAAGGGTTACTCTGGAGCATGGGGCAGAGAGAATCCTGAGTAGGCTGAATACTCTAGGCAGCATGAGCACTCTGGCTGCCTGAAGTAGGTGCTGGGGTAGGGGCAGCCATTTGGGGGAAAAAATCCAAGAGATGGAGGGGACGAGCCTTGTGGAAGACAGACTTTGCTTAGTTGATACTGAAGTATAAAAAGAGTGACAAGAGGCCACGTCTTGATGATGGCTCTCTTTTGACCAGCAGGACAATGCTGACCAGAGCTCTGCAGAGGAGCTGTGCTATACCCTCATCAATCACAGAGTCCTCAGGAGAAGGCCGTCGGGGAACTCTGCTGAGGGCTACTATGAGAATGTCCCTCCCCTGGCCGAGGGGCCCAGAGAGTTGTGGAGAGGAACCGAGACTGACTACTCACTTCTCTGTTTGCCTTCCACCCCTAGGCATCCTTCTTCCCCAGAAAATGAATATGAATTTCTACCCACTAGACGCTCCTCTCACACCCTGAAATAGCCACACCCACTTATACCACTTCTGAGGCTCAGTTTTCCCATTTGTAATGAAGCAGTTGGACCAAAATTTGTTTCAGCCCAGCAAATAAACCTGGGAGTGGAAGGGCTCTGCTTCTCTCTCCCACCCCACCCCCACCCCACATACACAGAACAGCTCCTTCTACAGGTGTCTCTTAGCTCCTACTCAATATTCAACATCCAAAAATCAACCAACTGTCCTGAACAGTCTTTGACAAGGGAGTCACCATATTTGGCTCTAAGTGGCTTTGGAAATGGGCTGCTGCACTCAGAAGCAGGGGTGGGGGTGGGAGGGGGGGAGGGGGGTCCCCTGGTCTCCTACAGCTATGTGTATCACAAAGGGTTCAGCTCCTCTGTCCAGGTTCTTCAGAGAAAATGTCCCCAGGCTTGTCCTCTGAAGTCACAAGGAATCTGTACCCAAGGAGGAGTCTACTCATTCCACATGTGTTTATAGGCCCAACTGTTCACTCACATCTTTCTAGGTGGGCACCTGCGTGTTCCTCTTACGCCATGCCTCTAAACGGCATCTTTTGCAGTGTTCTTTGACTTTCTGGCCCTGGTGGCTTGGCTGGTTACATGGGTTGAATCTATAAGTCCCAGGCCAAAAATTTTACAATTTTTATGTCATTGTAATCCCTATGTATTTTTTAATTTTGCATTTAAATCTTAATAAGAAAATCATAGTATCAGAGAATGATAGTGTAGACAGATGTTTGGAGATCCTCTATTCCCAGTATTTTTTTTTTTTTGGCTCATTGGCCTTGGCCCAATGTAACATTGCAGGTTAGTGGCAGAACTTCATCCGGAGCCTGAGTCCCTGGTTTCCAATTTAGCACTCCTTCAATGAACTACATAAAAGAGCGTCTACTCCACAAAATATGTGCGTAGTAAGTAATGCATCACGTACAAAATAGGAATAAAATATCCACATAAAGAAAATAACACATACACACAATCCTTCTCTAATGAGCACTTCTTCACATGCTCGTTATTTTCCCTCATCTGTTCTGCAATGTTCCTAGAATTATATCTAGTCCCTAAAATAGTGGTCATCAAACTATGACCCCTGGGACAAATCTGGCCAACTGCTTGTTTTGTAAATAAAATGTCATTGGAATTATATGGCCATAGTCATATGCTTATGTAATGTCTGGGAATACTACAGATTTAAGTAGTTGTGATACAGATTTAAGTAGTTGTAGGACCTACAAAAAAAGCAAAAATATTTATTTTTGGCCCTTTTCAAAAACCGTTTGGAGACCCTTGCCCTAAATAATCAGAATTAAGATAAACTAAACAGAAATGTGTTGGGGTATTCATTTGACTTGTAAGAGCTGATACCAATAAAATGGTATGGAAATATGAAACCACAAATTAGATGAGTAAGTTCAATAACAATTAACAAATGAGGCTATTTTTATATTCCCACCTGTTTTCTCAACTTCCTGTTTCAACCCCTGGCTGCTGTCTTAATTTTAAGGATTTTAAAATAGTAAGAGATTTGTTAAGACAAACAATAGATGTACGTTTAATTACTGTTTTGTTCCCCAAACTTCTTTTGTTTGTTTAACCAAAGTTAGATAATCTCGTTATTTAAAATGCTCTACAAGGACAATGGGGGAGAGGATTGAATGGGTGGGGAGTGTCCAGGGTGGGGGAGAGTGATGGGGGGGTGGAATGGGAGCAACTGTCACTGAAAAACAATTAAAAAATTAAAATAAATAAGTAAATAAAAATGCCCCCCAAAATAAATAAAATAAAATGTTCTAAGTGCCCACTGGGGATAAATCCAGTGGTTGGAGGTTGGCTGTTTCAACACAGGTTTTCTGAGACTTCAGCCAGTTGATGGTCTTCAGCCCAAAAGCCAAACAAATCTCAGTGTCTTATCCTCTACCAACTTTCTCTTATTAGCACAATTCTTTTATATTGAACTCTAACTTTGACCTTTGGCCAAGATTCACTCAAGTTCAGTATGAGGCATGGGTGGAGGTAGGGAATACTGTGTGAGACGTCAGTATGGCTTAGGGGACAGAGCGTGAACTCTGGAGTTAGACAATCAGTTATTCAAATCCTCCATGGGCCTTGAGTGTGTAACTTGAAGGCTCGGCTTTTTCACCCACAAACAGGAGAATTCCATCTAATGTATGTAAATCCTTCATCACAGACGCTGAATAAATGATATCAAAAAGCAAAATGAAACAAAAAGCTTTATGATGTATATAAAGCAACACGTGCTTTTGTGCCTGGTGCTCCAGGTCACCCAGCAGTCTTTTAGCAAGGCAGAAACACAAAATTCTGGGTTTTGTGCTGCAATTTTTCACTTGGATATTGGGAGGCTGATGAGTTCAAATATTCTTAGTACATTATGTTACATTCGGTTGAGTCTTATCCTTACCTGTCTAAGATAGTATTTGCCTTTTATCAGGAATATATTAAGTACAAATGCTTAGCCAAAAATTGTTGTTCTTAAAATGAAATTTGAGAGATTATGAAAAAGAATTACATTTGAGCAGAAAAGTCCTTTGGGAGTGCTTTCAAATATGTACAATGTCTGTATAAGAGTACTAACCCCTTTTTATAGATATCAGGGTTTCTGGTGAAAATTGTGCAACACCTTCACAGAAAAGGCACATGAGACAAGGCAAGAAGCCAGGACAAGTGCAATATCAAAACTGAGACAGATAGTTAAACAGGAAATTTGTAGCCATTTAGTAAATTCTATCTTCCCTAAACCAAGGACACATAAGAGTAAATGGTGCGCACTTCTCCTCCCCAACCAGAGGGTAATCAGGGAGCAAGATAACAGAAACTTAATTAGTGTCATTTGCTGACCTCGTCCAAGGACAGATGAAGTTAAAAGAATTGATCTCATTTTGGCACATGAGCATACATTTGATGAATATTCCATTGAGATTGTTTCCAAGACTGCTCCTAAACTCCAAACCTTTAAACACCTCAAAAGAAAGGTCCCAACGCGCACTCTCCCTCCCAGGAACATGCCCGTGACTTTCCCTTCCCGTCTTCTTCCCCGACAGACAAGCATCTCCAACCCTAAGGGACCACATGAGGCTTGCAACCAGGGAGCAATGGGCAGAGGTCCCTAGGTTTGCCCCCTGACCCTGTCCCTAAGACCCCCTTTTCTCTGACTCTTAGTGAGCCAGAGAAGCCCAGCCTAGACTCATTTCCCCACCTAGTCCCTGTCCGGTTGCTTCCTCTATCCGAGGTCCTTCGTTGTTTCACTGTCCCCAGCTTTGATAAACACGCTCTCAAAATTACCTAGACTGGCAATTTGAAATCTTTCCTGCAGAAACTTAAGAACTCACACACCACCAGCCAGCCCTAGGCAGACCTGCTCAAGGTCAGGTCCTTATCAGTAACACACACACACACACATGCACACTATTTGTATGCAATTTCAAAGAATTGGGAATACAACTAATTAGTTTTAAAAATTCTTGTTCTTGATTTTTTAAAAAATGAGGCTAGGAATTTAAATTGTCCCCTCAAGTCCCAAATATATCAGAAAACTCGCCTCCCCCAGGCCGGTCTCGGAAGCGTACGCAGCCAAAGTTCACGGAGGCGCGTTTTACGCAGCCACCGAGGGCTGTGGTTTCCTTTTTATGATTAACTATCATCTATAAATAATCCCTAAGTCTGTGAGTAGATTTTTATTTAGAACAGAAAAGCGGCACAAGAAAACGGCAAGTGAGGAAAATCTACCGTTAACAATAAGTAAATTCAAATGCTGACATTATAAGAACAAATGGGTTCTACGACTATTCTCTGGGATGGAAGGACTTAGGCAGAAGTTGGAAGGTGAGCCGCAGGACTCCACAGAAGACTTCAGAGAATAGGATATTCTATCTACACTTCCTGACTCTGTTCTCTTCCTAGCCAGCTTCTTGTCTTCAGAAAGCAACTTGAAAGCCACTGGATCTGAGCATACCTCAGTTCTGCCAACTGTTAAATGGGTCAGTATAAGTCCCTCCCTCTTTCCTACAGACGAGTCTTTTGCAAGGCACTTGGGGAAGGATTGAAAGTCATCATAATCCCAGACAGTCTTCTACCATCTGACAATCACATTTCTCAACTCACCCTTCCCCCTCTTCATTCATGGTACTTGTGGATTCTCAGATATCCCACAAGCCAAACACTAACTGAACATGACTCTGAGGTGCCCGGCTGGGTGAGAGGCCACTGATGCTTGTGGTTGACCAGGGGGCTGTGCTTTGCTTCCCAAAGCCGGGGAGCTCTGGGCTTGTTCTCCTACTTCTCCTGGCCTTGGTTTCTTAACTATGAGATAAGGGGACTGCTTTCTAATGTTAATCATAAAGAAAAATATTAAAAGATGGGTCTGAATGAAGCTGCCAGAAATGCACTAGTGAACAGTGTGAATTAACTTATTTTTTTAAATATATTTGATTGATTATGCCATTACAGTTGTTCTATTCCCCCCTTCATTCCCCTCTACCCTGCACACCCCTCCCCCACCATTCCCCCCTTTAGTTTATGACCACGTGTTTTAAGTTCTTTAGATTCTATATCTCCCCTACTACTCTTGCCCTCCCCCTATCTATTTTCTACCTACCATCTATGCTACTTATTTTCTGTACCTTCTCCTCCTCCTACTCCCCTGTTGCTAACCCTCCATGTGATCTTCATTTCTATGGTTCTGCTCCTGATCTAGCTATCCTCTTAGTTTGCTTTTGTTTTAGGTGTGGTTGTTGATAACTGTGAGTTTGCTGTCCTTTCACTGTTCATCTAGAAGGGGCTGGAAAGATGAATTAACTTATTTTAAAGCCATGGAAAAGAAATGAGAGCAGAGAAGAGAAAACTGAGAAATGTCTCCCATTATTCTCAACACTGGTCAGTCTCTGAGTAGAGCAGAAGTTTATATCCGGAGTCCACACCTAAATGGGAGAGGAGAGAACACTCATTGAATGAATCCTGATGAGGCACGAACACACATAAAAAAAGGCAAACCTGTTTATTCAGATCCCACCACTGCTTCAGGATCAGTCGATGTTCTACTTCCTGGGCAAAGATTTTCCCATTTAAACTGTACTGGCTACTCTTTGTTCTGTCTTTATTTAATTTTAGTATATGACTTTTTTTTCCTGTTGCTTCTTGTATCAACATAAGAAATGCCCAGACCTATAAGAATTTTAATGAGTTTATCTGAGCCAAACTGATAATACTTGCTGGGAAGCAAACCTCAACAAATTAGAAAATGCTCTGGAAAGTGGCAATTTCGCACCTTATTTTATACATTACAATCAAAAGAGAAGAGGTAAGTGCCTTACATGAAATCCACTGGTAATAGGTTCAGCAGGCAAGAGAAAGCAAAGTGGGGGAGAACCTCTAGGATTGGATAAAAAGTAAAATGCTAAGGCACATATGAGGTCTGTCCAGAAAGTACCCAGCTGTGCACTATGAGCGATAGAGACGTTTGCTGAAGAAGGCACGAGACCCTCACACAGTCCTCCCAGCACAATGTTCCTTCTGCTCTGGTAGCAGAAACCACAGAACAAATTTTGCCCCATGTTTCCTGCCAAGACCCTGAGTCAGAATCTCAGACACAGTAGTTTTTGGAATCCCCAGATCAGCTTCGAGTTCTCGCACTGTGAGTTGCCGATGTTTGTTGACTACATCCCGTACAGTCCAACAGTGTCCAGCCCACGACCTGTCCCACCATAGGTGGCCCAGGATGACTATGAATGTGGCCCAATGCAAAATCATCAACTTACCTAAAACCTTTTTTCACTCATCAGTTTTCGTTAGTGTTTATGTATTTAATGTGTTGCCCAAGACAACCTTTCTTCTTCCAATGTGGCCCAGAGACGCCAAAAGGTTGGACAGCCCTGCATACATGTTCAACATTCTTGGGTGTTCTGCTTGTTGCAGGCCTTCCAGAATGTGGGTCACTTTCAACAGATTCTCAACCATCTTTGAAGCCTTCGTGCCACACTTTTATTTGCACTGCACTCATTGCACCCTCCCCAAAAGCCTTCTGAAGCATCCGAATAGTTCCCACAGAGGAATATTCAAGCTTAATGCAAAATTTGATACAGATTCATTGCCTTGCTTGTTCAGTCATTTTGAATGCGATGGCCACACAGAGCACATGCTCATTCAACAACATCTGCCACCCCCTCTGACTAGTACAGTGAAGTCATCATTGTTCACACACACACATTCCTGTCCACTCTCCTTGGCTGCCAGTTTACATTCATGTCATGCAAACTGTTCTCATTATATTAACAATAGCTGGACTTCTTTCAGACAGACCTCATACTTCTTTTACATAAGTGGGTACAATAGTTAGTGGGTACAGTAGAATAGTTAACAGTCAACAATGAACACAGTGACAGCAACAATGAGAGGGTCTGTGGTGCCCCTCTTTCACAGTGCCAGTACTTTGAGGGCTCTGGAAAAAGAAAATTTGACATTCCAAGGTATGTTATCATAGATGCAAAAAGACAATAAATAGACAGGCATTCAGTTTGTTGTGGACCACTCTGCCTGGTTTCAGGAATTGTAACTCGACCCCCTGTGGCTAAGGGCAAGGGACAACCTCTGGAATGCAAGCCGCAGGAGACAAAGCTTGTCTGGTAGCAAACGCTGCCTCAGTTTCCTCTCCCTGCCCCCAAAGTTTGGTCGGAAGTCAATGATGGGTAAGACCCCTCACAGTGGGGAGCAACCTAAGCCAGACACAATCACTTAGGAGGCCTTCATGGAAGGACTGGGGTGGGGGAGGCTGCAACAAAGAGCAATGGACTCTCGCCCCCTCCCCCGCCTTGACAAAGCCTGAGTCCCCTTGTCCTCTGGGAGAAGATTGTAGCCTAGGACATGACTGCTTGCCATGAACTGCTTTTAGAAAGTTTTTGATTTCAGACATTTCCATGTTGTTACTTTATGTCCCTGAGTTTGTAAGTCCATCACTCAGGCCTCACCTGGGCTTGCCAACTTTGGTATGTGGCCCCTTTTTGTCCACATTTGTTTTACCTGTGTGTTACCAGACAGCCTCATGATGTTCCAGAACTGTCAGTAAGGTCCTATTGCTTGCCACCTAGAGGCATAACTTTAAAGACAGGAGTTTGGTGCAAAGGAAAGGGGTTGTTTATTTAAAGGTTATAGAGTTTTAGAGTGGTGGTAGGTTTCTGCCTCAGGGCCCCTCCCCCTTTAAAACACCCAAAGACAAACAGCCATGCCACCCTCTGCCAGTTCAGGAATGTACCTGAAATCCCTTTTCCCACTCCTAAAAGTACCGCCCTTTATGAAATGCAGATAACTGCAGCAGGATTATGCAGGCAGCTGGGCAAATTTCTGGTCGCAGTTCAGCCAACGCTGCTGCTTTCTGTGCAGGTGGGGTGCAGGGGCTTGGTGCCCAGCCACGTGGCCTCAGGAACCTGCTAGTCACAGGAACTCAGGCTTCCTGCAGCTGACCGGGCCAGCCAGGGGAGAGGAAAAAGCCAACAACAGACGTTGTGCTTCCCGGCTCCATTTAAAAGTCCTCTCCCAGAATCCCATGTGCCCTGGAAGCCAGTGGGAGTGTCCAGCATTCCAACCAATGAAGGCCAGTGCTGGCCATGTGTGCCTCTGCCCCCTCCAGCTGCCTTGTTTAGTAAGGGAACAGAGTCCTGAACCATTCTTGCTCTGTACACGCTCCCTCCCCTGGTGGCCCCTTCCTTCACAGGGAGAGGGACCCACTCCTAACCTTCAGTTCTGCCCTGGGGTTTCCTCTCAGGCCCTGTGTTCTCCAGACGAGTGGTGTGACCCCTCTGTTGCCTATGCAGAGTCTGGCTCCCTGTAAGACCAGGATTTCTTTTCTTATTGTCTTCTTCTTCACTGGTGTCTCTTACAACCTTCCGCAAAACTCATTAAAAAGTCTACAGAACTCATTTAAATTGCAAGGCAAAAAAGAATTGTGCATGTAGATAGAATTTTTGCTGGGGCTGGAGGGCAGGTTTCTCTGACCTGGCTGTATGTATTCTTTCCATCCCTATCTAAAGGACTTCCAAAATAGACCAGTTTCACTTCTCAGATCTTTCCATTATTTTACGGATATGTGTTAAAACCTTATTATGCATCAGACATTATGCACATAATTAGAATGTGTGATGACCAACAAATTTGCCTCTGATAGCAGAAGAGTGTGTAAGTATCGTTATTGTGCAATGTATAATGTGCACTTTAGCCCAAATTTTTGAGGGAGAAATAAGGATGTGCATTACACATGAGTATAATGATTACATATCATGGGTATAAAAATGGGTATAATAATCCCATGTATAATGCACACAAAAATTTGGGTGAGTATTATATACAGCAAAAGATGGTGCCTTTTTTCCAAAAGCCTCAAAATGCTTTAGTCACAAAGTTCAGTTCTTTCCACACCAGTTGGGCCAAAAAGCCCGCCCTACAGAAAACCCTATGACTTGCAAGTTGTCAAAGCCCCAGACAAGACACTTGCATCTTGGTGCTTTCCAGAGGAGAAGAAAGGTCCAAACCAACCCTGTGTGGACCCCATAGGAACCAACTCTTCCTTCCAGCCCCAGGCCCTTCAGATGCCTGGCCCTGCCTGGGAAGACGTGGAGGGGAACTGAAGTACCCACCCCGCACCCACTGAACAGAGAGGAGGTGCCTCCCACCCCAGGTCAGTCTCATTCTCCCTCAAGGGGAAGCCGCCCTCAGGGAAATGAAAAGACCTCTCCCAACACCATTTACTGCACGAAAATACCAACCCGAGACATGGCCCTGGAGAGTCAGCATCAATGAAACAAACGTAAATGCAACAGGGTGGAGGCAAAAATAATTTATTGCGAATATTTTAAAATCCTTTTCCATTAAGGTTTTCCATTATTTTCTAAAAAGTACAAATATACTAAAGTTTCCACTTGACATGTAAAAAAATAAAGAGGAAGAAGGATAATTCACCTGTTTCGCTAGTTTGAGGAACTATCCTCAAAATGAGACCCTGTGTTAAAATAAATGTATCTTCCAGTTAAATAAGAAAGTTCACATTATGCAGAGTCCTGGGTCACAGGGAGCTCAAGGCCAATCCACCAGAGACGACACTCAGACACAGCCCCCCACACAGCTGCCCCTCACTCTCACTCCCACCTAAGGCCAATCTGACTGAGACGTCAGGGTGAAGGAGCTCTCATCACCGGATGACAAAACTCTTTCTCCTGGAAAATCTCCAGCGAACAATTTCCCCAACAAAACAAATATCCTGTTCCTTCATGACAGGCGGTGCCATGTCTGCAAATGACCGATCCAGGCACTAATATCGCCCCCACCCTGCCAACGAACAGGCCTTCCGCTTCCAACAGTTTGTTGCAGAGAGTGCTCCTTCCTGTTTCATCACCATCTTCGGTGAGACCCACGGGCAGTGAGTGCGTGAGGACACTGGGTCGTCCAGGAGGGCCACTGACACCCGGCGATGCGAAGCCAATGTGCAGCCGCTGCAGCAGACAGGAGGGAGTCTTAACGATTCCCTGATGCAGGGCTGTGAGAATGCACACAGAAGAACCATCTAAAACGACAGCGGTGTGTTCAGAACTCTCGGGGGAGCATGTTGCTAAAAGAGGTGTTCAGGAGCCACAGGAACAATGAGGAGATGCAAAAATAATTTAAAACCACACATCTTATGTCTGCAGCTATAGCTAAGACAGTCACATTGGACGCTGTGCCTGCCTACAGCTGGTTACCTAAGAAATGTAGCCGCAGGTTAGGAGAGCAGACAGAGAACGATGCTGCTTTGATCCTGCAAAGTGCCCTTCTTTTCCTCGCAGGCTTGCTTAGAGGTAGATCAAACATGGTGGTGAGTGGGTGGGGGATCTCAGTGAGCCGTCTGACCTGCCGCCACCTTTCCCTGGGCTCACTCCAGCAGCACGGGTCGGCGGGATCCGGCGGAAAGACTACTCTAACACTTAAAAGAAAGTGCCCACACGTGGGTGGAAACAGCCGGTGCTTCCATAATGGCCCGCCCTGATCTCACCCTGCAAGGTCCGTCCCCCAACCCCATCACCCCTGCCCCATCTGGCTTCCTGCCTTTATCACAAGTGGGGCCAGGTCAGCTCTCGGCTGCTGTTCTGCTGGACGTCATAACTGCGCAGGCAGGAGAAAAGGGACTGTGCCCAGCCCTCTGGTCATTTCGCATCCTTCAGTGTTAATTCACAGTATTTTTTTCCTGTAAAATGGAATGAATTCTCCTCATCCCACGATTCAGGGGATCACTGCTTTCAGACACAGGCTGACCTCGACCACTTCACTCTGAAAAGAAAACACAACCAACAGGCACTAAGTTTTTTAGAACCATGCTTCTTTTAAACATTTTAAACATATATGTCTTTATTTTTATCTGTTTTGAATATACATTCATATGAAATTGGGATATTTGTAAGTTCCTAACAAATGTACTCTTTAGTACACACACACACACACACACACACACACACACACCTCTGAGTCTTTTTCAAAAGGCAAGTAGCACACTGTTTGCTCATTGGTGTTGGTGTAATTCATGGAAACATTTGATGAGGCCGATGGGTGCTGTGGACATGTTAACATTCAGCCTTTTCTCACGATCTCACTATAAAAATACCTGTAAGTTTTCAGGGGGTTCTGGAAAGGTGCACAGTATATCGTGAGAAAGTCTGATGAGGAGAACGGTGTGGAGCTGGCCTGACCCGGGGGTGCCGCCCACACAAGGACCTGGGGTCACTCCACGAGAGCCCTTCTCCCCCAGGGCCTCACAGCTGGCACTGGGGGCCGGGTGGTTCCTCCTGGTAGCGAGCACTGGACGATGCTGGAGGAGAATCCCCGACCTCGACACTGGACAGCAGTATCCAACATGCACTCCCAGTTGTGACAACTAAAAATGTCTCCAGCCCTGACTGGTGTGTCTTAGTTGATTGGACCCTATCCCTCAAAGTGAAAGGTCACCAGTTCGATTCCCAGTCAGAGCACATGCCGGGGCTGAGGGTTCAGTCCCCATCTGGGGTTTGCACAAGAGGAAGCCAACAGATGCTTCTCTCTCACACTGATGTTTCTCTCCCTCTTTTTCTCCACCCCTGCTTCCCTTCTCTCTAAAGTAAATAAATAAAATCTTTTTAAAAAATTAAAATGTCTCCAGACATTGCCAAATATCCGAGAGGGGTAAGGGGGTGCAAAGGCGCCCTCAATGAGGATGAATTCTCTTTGGCTACACTCTCCAAGCCTTCCCGGGAGTCTGTAAACAGCCAGAATGGTTTCCCTTGACACCCCAGGTGGTTCTTTCAAGGACAAAACTCACACTGGCTTCTCTGCCCACAGCCGGCTCATCATTTTACCCAAAACGTGCAAACAAGATTCACTGTTCTCACTTCCTGGACCTTTTCATCTTCTCTCTCACAGAAATCCGGCTGTGCCTTTGCTGCCTCCTGGTGTACTGACTGTTGGCAGGTGAGAAACCTGTGCAAAGTAACCAGCCCAGATCCAGAATAGCTCACGACGTCCAGAATAAGTCACTGTTTTAGGTGTTCACAACAGACTTCCCCTCCTTAGACCCAGGCCCCAATCACACATTAGGTGAGCAAGCTCAAAAACAGGGGCGGTGGAAGGCATTGATGCATTAAAAACATTTCTTCAAACTACAGGGTATCATAAGTGAACTAAGTCAGACAGGGAAGGACAAATGCTACATTGCTCTCACTTATATGTGGAATCTAAAAAATGAACATAGACAAAGAGAGCAGATTGGTGGCTGAGTGTGGGGGGTGGGTAATTCGGATGAAGGTGGTTAAAAAGGACAAACTGCCAGTTATAAGATATGTAAATACTGGGCCCCAGCTGGTGTGGCTCAGTGGATAGAGTGTCAGCCTGTGACCCAAAGAGTCACCGGTTGGATTCCCAGTCAGGGCATATGCCAGGGCTGTGGGCTGGGTCCCCAGTAGGGGGTGCGTGAGAGGCAACCACACACTGATGTTTCTCTCCCTCTCTTTCTCTCTCCCTTCCCCTCTCTCTAAAAATAAATAAATAAAATCTTTTTAAAAACAGATATATAAGTACTGGGGATGTAATGTACATGTTCACTATAGTTAACACTCCTGTACGGTACGTTTGAAAGTTGCTGAGAGGGTGGACCTAGAAAGTTCTTATTACAAGGAAAAAAACATTTTTATGTCAAAAAGAAAACAACAGATCAAAATGAAGTCCCTTTTGCTAAGTCCCACCAAGACTGACTTACTGCCTAAGTCACTTGCAATGTCAGCCTTTCTCGGGAAAAAGACTGAAAACCAACGAGTCTGGAACTTCCTGGTCAGCCAGTGAGGTCATCTGCCTGGAAATTCCCCCCCCCCTCCTTCCCTTGAGGGAAGGTAATTTTGCCTGAAATAATCCATCCTTTCAATTTCTTTGCCCTGCCCTCTTCCTGCTTATAAAAACCTTTCCTCTTGTGTAATTTCTCTGAGCAACTCTCTATTCACTGGACAGGATGCTGCCTGATTCCTGAATCACCCACTAAAGCCAATGAGCTCTCTCAGTTCACTCAGGTGAATATCCGCTCTGTACCAGCAACCCCGAGGCAGCAGGTACTAACTGCACTCACTGGGGCAACCCCTCGGTGCGTGTGCTAGTCATCGTGACGCACGCCTTAAACCTGCCCTGGGCACGCCAGCTACACCTCCATAAAACCGAGAGGCAAAGGTAAATATTTAAAAACTCCCCTCTGATTATAATAATAAGGGAAGTTTTTATTTTTATGAGGCAGCAAAATATGCCTGCAGCTGGGTGGATGAGTCACTGTAGCGCCACATCCGAACGTGGAAAGCACGCACACACTTCCCCAGGGACCGGAATCAGAGCCCAACTTAAGGTTCTGACCCTAAAGGGCAAATACATTTGGCCCCAGGGGAACCAGAGGCTGGCCTCAGGGAATTCCCGGGAAAACTGAGATTGTAAAGTTTTGGGCAGAGGGAGAAGTTACACAGTTGCTTTTCTGGGGAGAAGGTATTTGGCTGACTTCAAATTCTCTAATGGGAATACAAAACAAACAATTAAAAGAATCTCTGCTCTTTGAAGAATTGGAGCATTATCTTTGTGGAAAAGCAGTTGCCCAGCTCATCACAGGGGTGGGGACACTTGTGTCCCCAAGTCCACAGTGCGTGTGAACGTGGGGAACTGGCCTAAGAACCGCACTGGGTCTCACTCGGCCCCTCGCGGGGGCCTCTGCCTGCCCCGACCACAGCCCACAGCCTCTCTTCCCCTCCTTTGGATTTTCCCCTCAACTTGTCCCCTCCCTTGGCCTACCTGCCTCCTCTCATTTGGTCATGGTGTACCCTTCTCTTTGAGCGCAGACTGATAGTCATATTCCTGAAAATATTGAACGGCTAAAATGCATGCCCTGGGAAGGGGATGTGGGGTCACAGGAGTCCCCTGGGAAAGAAATGTCCAAGAGAAAAGCACAGTCTCCTGAGGCGCTGAAACAGTCTACCTCATGCTGACCCCTGGGGCCAGAGGCAGAGTGTGGGCCTGGGGAAACGTCTGGGTCTGAGGCTGCCCGACTGAGCCGGCCCTGGGCCGGAAAAGCAATGTGCCCTTTACCACACTCCCAACCTCAAAATTAAATCCTCTTAAACCTTTTCTCACCCTCCTCTGCCCTCCCACACCTGTGTTTGGAAAGGGCAGGTAACCACAGAATTTACAGAGAGGCCTGAGGAATTTGAGATCAGTCGCACCACTGAAGCGGGTACAGTTCCCTTCTCTCGCCCCTTTACACAAGATGAGGTCATAGGGGTTTTTTCTTTCTTTTAAAAATTCTTGTAGAAAGTGCATAATCCTTCACCCCACACATGCGTGTCATCAGCCTAGCCCACAGACACACGTTATTTATTCAGCTGCTCTGTAAGTAAACTATTCATTTATGAGACTTTCCCAATGAGCCGAATGAGCCTTCTAAATGTCATTCTTTCTATCCGCTTGCTGACTACAATTTTCTGTGTTCTCAGGCCAAGATTCATCTGCTCTCACCTCCCATCCTCAAGAAATGCGCCATCACAGGGAGTGCCTCTTCTCGCACTCACGACGAAGTCACACAAGTGCTTCATAATCTCGGTTCGCACTTCTGAGGCCAGGCTGCGGGCACCGTGCCTGGTGCTAACCACATCTTCTTCTGACTGGCCTTTTTCATTCATTCAACTAGTATTTACGACCACGAATGTGCACAGAATGTTTCTGATGGACGGTAGGTGAGAATATAAAATACCCGAGACTGTTGACATTTGGGGCTAACGAGAGCCACTGCCTCTGCAAGGGAGGACTCAGAAAGGAAAAGTGAGAAAGTAAGAGGGCAAAGCTTCAGTGCAGAGAATGGAAGGATAATGCAGAGTCGCGGCTGTTCCGCCTCCCACCTTCCCCTTTTCTAGGTCTTGGGCATAGCACGAAAAGTTGACAAGCAGGGTGTCGTCTATGCTTATTAGACAACACATCACTTTTCTTGTTCTGCTGTTAGTCTTAAAAGTGAATGAGCGAATTTATTACAATTTTCTAAGGAAAGAGATTAATTTGACTTTTATGCCCCTCTGTCAATTTGTTAATGAACTCACTGGCCTTCAGCAGGAAAAGAGTGAAGCTCCCGTAGGGAGATAATCCTTCAGTGATTTAACTCTACTGTTTATCTCAAATTCTTTACCACTTACTTCTCTTGCAAAACCATGGTGTTTCCATGAAGGTTGCATTCATATCTCAGAGAAACTGAGCCTTGGGTTCCAGACCCAAAGAGAGAATAAAGACCCAATAAAGAGAGAATCGCAATAAGGCGTGTAAAAATCCTCTTGCTGGTGAGGGGTCTTGCCTTTGATTTGTAAAAAGTGCAACATCCATGAAGCACAATAAAGTAAAGCACAACAGAATGAGCTGGACCTGAACTAATAATATGACGAAGTGAAAAATGGGGCTTAGCATGTAAGTGAACTACAACAAGAAAACATTCAGCAATCCTCATCTTTATAGTTGAGTTATTTTTTCCAGCATTGTCCCCCAACTGTGCAGCCTGATCATGGGGGGCAGGGACTGTATCACCTTCACAGGAAACATCACCCGCACGGAAATCAACCAGAACCCGCTGTCCCCAGTCTGTCTCACTTGCTCACCAGCACAACTCTGCCTTCTTGACTTGCTCGACTTACCATCCAGCAAGAGGGACTCTGGATCAAGCTCCAGAGTCTCACAACCAGACAGCTTCTGATCATGGAAATCCTGTAGCAAAATGCCCAGCACCAATTCCTCGCTCATCATGTATTTCATAAAATTGTTATCTTCCGATGGAACCCCAAACTGCAGATGGTAGGTTATGGTGGCATTTTCTCCTCTGAAGGCCAAACTAAACAGAGACAGTCAAACACAACAAGATCACATTGCAACTCCGGATTGGTTTTAGCAACAACATTTTTTATTAGTTCTGTGTGCTCTCCCAAGTACCAAATAGCAAAGGGTGTGCTGCCTGGCAGAATCCCATTGGTCTAGCACAAAAGGTTCAGGGGGTCCTCACCCACTCCTCCCTCCTCCAACGCATTCCCTACAGGAGCCCACTGAGAGGCCAGTGAAGGGAGAGATGGGACCCAGCTATCGTCAAGGTGGATCCAAGCGCCGGCACCTCGTCTGCCCCAACACCAGCCTTTCTTTGACCTGCCCCTGCCTCCTGCCAAGGCAGACCAGGGAAGTCCTGTTCTCTTCCGCGTTCCCTTCTCCACATTCTCACACTACATCCATTCCCCGCCCCGATAAGTGGGGGTCAGTCAACCCTTCTGATTAATTATTAATTATTAATTATTAATAAAATTATTAACTGCGGGTCAGTAGACAGTTAACAATTTTTTATTTTTTTAATTTATTGGTTTCAGAGAGAGAGGAGAGGAGACAACAGACAGATGCACAGAAAAACAGACACCGATTTGTTGTCCCACTTATTGATGCATTCATTGGTTGATTCTTATATGTGCAGTGACCAGGAATTGAACATACAACATCCTTGGTGTATAAGAATGATGCTCTAAACAGCTCAGCTACCCACCCAGGGCCCTCGTGATTGTTTAAAGTAGCGTCCAAAGCTCTCTGCCGTCAGAGGTGCAGAACTCCTGGGCTCCCACCCTCCGCCCTGTCGTATCAGCAGCAAATCATACGTCCCCGGTTTGTTCCCTGAGAAACTCATTCCGTCCCATTTCCACTCCCAAGGCCGCCGGCCTCACAGCTCTCAGGAAGGACACCTGAAGAAGAGGAGTGTTCATCTTCCTAGAAAATATCTTCCCCGTTTCCAAAGTAATAATAAAAAAATCATAGAACTATTCTCGGTTGAGTAGCGTATATCATTTGTTAAATGGTACATCAACATTTAGGTTTTCCAAAATTATCTTATTACTTTCAAAACAGACCCAAATGAAGAGCAGGCAATAAAATTATTAAGAGATGGCCAAATCTGAAACTCACACCCCAGGGCAAGTTTTATAGACACACTAGTCCCAGTAGTGAACACAGACCTTCTCAAGGACAGGCAAAGGGCTCCCTCTTGTGGCCAGAGGTTGCAAATGATAAGGTCCATGGATGGACCTAGAGGGCATTATGCTAAGTGAAGTCAAATCAGAGAAACAACACAAATACCATGTGATTTCAGATATGGGGAGTCTAAAGAACAAAATGAACAAAACTGAAACAGACTGACACAGACACCAGACAGATGGAAGGGAGTTTAGGGGCGGGATGAAGAAGTACAAATCGGCAGTTATAAAACAGTTACAGGATCTAAAGTGCAGCACAGGGGACACGGTCGGCAATATTTAGTAACTATGTGGGGGGTCAGAGTGCGAGAAACTGCAGGGACAGCACGTCATAAAATATATGGCCGCCTAACTACTATGCTGTACAGCTGAAACTAAAACAAATTAATATTGAACATAAACTGTAACTGAAAAGTAAAGTTTAAAAGACGAAAGAAGTCACCAGAAGCTAACATGCGCATAGCGATCCACGAAGGAGGAGGCCCCGTGCTGCCGAGTCAACCTGCCGCTGCCTGCGTGTCCCCCCCCCAAGCCGGCTGCCACCCGCTTCACACGCCCCCCATCCCAGGACTATCCACACAGTGGATAGTGTGTGGCGACGGAGGGGACGTCAATGTGATACAAAGGCCTTGGACTGTCGCTTTCCAGGGATCTCTTAGGGATGGTAGATAATAATGTTCAGGTAAATTTTGTCCTAACAAACAAAAGGACAATCAAACGACTCTTCTGTATGTGTATACGCAAAAATATTAAAGATCAAGAGGAAACTTAAAAAGAAAAAATATGTGTTCATGCTATCCATGTATAGTACATAAAGTATACATGGTAAATACATGTGTAGAAGTCCCACCCAACTGTTGATGTCCTTCATTTTGTAGAAGGGCGTGCGTTCACTGTGAGTATGGAATTGATCGGCACGCACAGTGTCCGGCGACAGGAGGGCGGTGGTGGGGAACAGAAGGCAGACTTCCCCTGTAATATGTATCTTTATATCTTTAATATTGGACAGGGACTCTGGTATTACTTGCGTCCCTCGAAACCGTAAGCGGATGCACGCCTTCCATCGCTTACACCACATCACTGGCTGAGCTGCAGTTCCATTTCCACCCTTAGCTCGCGGGAGCGCCCCCTGTGGACAGGAATGGTGTGCCTGCGACTGGCTTTTCCTCCCTCCCGTGTGACTTTATGGAGTCATCTAATTAACCTGGGCTTCATTTTTCTCCTTTGTGACATAAGAGAGGTGGGCTAGTTGGTGTCCACAGGCCCTCCCAGCACCGACACTTGACAAGTCTATCCCTTTGAGCTTTGAGACCTGGGAAGTCCTTCTAGGCAGACGGTGGTGCCCCTTTCCAGATCCTCCAGGGTCTTACCTGAAGTTTGTTTCCACCGAAGTAAAGTAACGGCTCAGGGACGGTGATGAGCTGTACACATCTACCAGCTGAAACAAACAAGAACAAGTGAAACAAACACACGCATTACTGCTGGGTTTTACTGGGTGTCGCCTGACAAAGCAAAACCTCTCCCGGACCACGGGGAGTGCATGCCAGCTGGAAAAGGACTTATCCAGGGACTCTGGGTCAAAAAAGAACAAAGAAATGGGCCTAGCACCAAGCAAAAGTCAAGTTCACGCTCACTTAAAAAATCTCGTTTTATAAGGATCATATGACGGGGCTGAGGTATCAGCTTCTCTTATGTATTGCACAGGTCGTGGCCTTAACAATGAGGGGGGTCAGCAGCCTGAGCCCACACAGAGCCGAGGACATGGGCAGGAGAGAACAGCGCAGTGGCTTGGAAGACCCAGAACAGGCCACTCAGCTCTTCTCTCCTTTCTCCAGAGCTTCACTGTAAGAAGAAACACCCATTTTAAGCCACAGGTAGGGTACTCTCCCCTGGAAAATGGGACCAAGTGGGAACAGCGTATAATCGCAGAGACAGTGGAGTTCTTATTTTATGGTCAAATGTGCAGACTGAGCTAGAGCCCAGTGAGCTGATGCCCAGAGCACAGAGGCTAGTCAGAAAACAGCTTCCAGAATAAGAGAGCTATACCTCCCCTAGGTTATCAGAGGCACCATGCTTAACCCTTGCATCAGGCACACGCACACAGTTAATGGGATGACTTTAGCAGAGCAATGGCCCCACTGGAAGAGAACACTGGCATGGTATTATGAGATATGAGAGGGGCAAGGAAACCGTGTTCATGAAAGCAAGTCAGTAAAGCAAAGGAGAGGACACAGTGTTCCAACATCCACTCCCATTTACCTTCTGTATCCAGAAACTGTAGGAAACTGTCCTAACTGGAAGGGGGGGGGCTCTCAACTGACAATAAGGCAGTGACATTTCCAAGCTCCTTATTTCTGTTGGGAAGCTGGGCACCAGGAGTCTCTTTCACTTCACTGCACCTTACTTTCATCATCCACAAATCATTTTTTAAATTTTGTACAAGGTTCTTTATATGAATCTTTATATGCACCTGTAAGTACACAGGAGAGCGCGGTGACTCCCACCAGCCAGAGAGAAAGCAGCTCAGAGGCCCAGGCAGCACTGCCAGGCCCTTCCCCACCCCACAGCCACCACGAGCCACAGAGACCCATGGCATCTGCTCAAGTCCAGCTCTGTGCGAGAGATGCGGGTCTGAGGTGCATAATTAACATCCATTTCGCTTTAACATCGAGAGTCCAGAGTGTAACAAGTGACGTGTGGTTGCTGATTTGTTTCATTTCTGCTCATCCAATACAAAACCCCTCGGTTAAAAAGCAACCAAGAGGGAAGCAGCAAGGGGCTCTTCACTCTGCAACTTGCTCTGGAAGCAGCTGGAAGGAAAGGAGGAAAAGGGAGCTGCAGAAAAGACATGAACGAGGGAAAGGAAGAGGAGAGACGGGAATAATCTTCCCGGAGTGCAGACTCCAGTGACCCAGGCAGCGGTCGCTGCTAGGCACTTGGGCACTGGGAATGGACTCGGCCTGACCAGGGTGGAATCGCCTCCTCCCGGAGCTTCGGCAGGAACCAGACGGAGGTCGAACAGAGGGCTCACCCCATCCGACCTACCACTGCAAACAAGAGTGCGATGGACAGCAGGCTGGCCTTGCTCAGATTTTCTTATCAAACCCTTTTGGGTCTGGCTGTGCACCGCCCCGTCTTTGACAGGATGAGCAGACTTCCCCAGACACCCTTCATGGTCCCGCTGCAGAGCACCCATATCTCACAGAGGGTGCATTCTCCTGAATTTCCCACTCTGTAAATCACGCCATGTTCACCCGTAGGGCCACCCAACCAAGAGCCCAGAATCACGGTCTCCCTCACTCCCACACCAACTAGCCATTAATCTGGTTGAGTGAGAAGACCTCTTAAATCTCACTTGAATCTTCTTCTTCCCCCTGATATTGCCCTAATTCAAGGCTCCCTCATTTGCCATCTGAACTACTACAACACCTTCTAAATACACTCTACCTCTAGTGTTTTTTCACCATTGAAATGAAAGTTGACCATATCAACCTGCAGATTAAAATAGCTTAATGCTTTCCCAAAGAGTAGGAAAACCTTCAGGACCTGACCCTCCCTTCCTGTTCAGCCTCACCTCTGCAAGTCCCCACCACACAGCATGTGGAATCCATAGTACACCGCTGAGCAGACTCCCACCCAGAGCCTCACTTCCTCCAGGAAGCCTTCCAAGCCTCCATCCCCACCTCAGGGCATCCCCACCTCTGTGGTTGCAAAACACATACATTTTGCAAAACACATATGTTTGCAAAACAAAATGCATTCTCAACAATAGAATATATCACACCATCTTATTCTATATCTATTTAATCCCTTTCTCTACTTGGGCTGTGAGCCCCTACTAACGGCACAGAATTTGAGGCCCTGGCACTTGGCATGCTGTCTCGCACAGGATAGATCCTCAACGAAACTATAAATTAAATCAAATTTAAGAGCAGAGTGAAACAGAACACCGCCCTCCCTCCAGGATGCATTTAACTGGAGACCAGCAGAGGGCTCTGCTCTCTGGCTTTGCATGAGAGAAAATCCATTTGTGAGTATCTATTTCTGCCCAAACCCAAGCTTGAAACTACTTAGTCTGTAGCTCTATGCCAACCGTTGTAACAGAGTTCATATTTGCCTATGTTAGGAACTCAGTAAACAGTGTGTAAGGTCCATTACCCTCTTCTGGAGCAGGTGAGGCAACTCCTCTTCAGTAACACACTCCTCTGGAATCTTCAATGTGACCAAGAACGTTTTGTTTGAGGATAACTCAGGTATTTCATTTTCATCTTCATCGATGTAAGTTACTAAAGAGAGTGGAAGACGGAAATAAAAGGTAAACATAGGCACAAAATAATAAACTTATTTTACTTTAAAAAGAAACAAAATAAAACCAACCATTCAAACAAACAAAATGATGGGCACTCATCAAGAACAAAGGCTGGCAAGAGAAAGCAAGTATGAACAGAAATGCTTTCTCCTCTTGGAAAAAACAAATAAACACAGGGTCTTGCCTCCATCATGATAACAACTTTACCCATTTCCTGCCCTAAGGGGTCTCAGACTCCACTGAATATAGATGGGGGAGGGGCCAGGGGGATGGAGTGAGAAGAATACAAATTTTTGTGTTAAACTGGACCTGCAGCTTAGCTCTGTATACAGGTGTCAAGTCAGGTGCTGGGGGACAGTCAGGGCTGGAGGGGCAAACAATGGGGGGCGGGGGGCAGGGAGTGGGCGCAATGAATCATCATCCACCAGACAGAAGGGGACTTGCATGTGAGCATGTGAGCCCATGTCTTGAAACCTCCCAGGAAGACTCGGGATGGGCATGAAGTCATCACCCGAGAGTCTGTCTCACAGGAGGAATGATGACACAGTCTGTTTGCAGAAGGGAAGCCAAACAGCCCTGAGAGCCCCACACTGCAGCACCCACACTCCTGGGACAATGTGTTCTGTGTGGCTGCTTGTGCTCCACTGACTGAGCTCATTGGTTTGTATGCAGTAGAGCTGAAGGAAAAACACACAAGTCAGGAGCCAGGCGCTGGAAGCTGGCCCGCCAGGTCCTAATTACACACCTCGCTTCTCTCAGCCTCCCCAGCTGAGCTCACGCACAGACCACCTCTCTGGCCTGAGAAAAGGTGTGGGTGGGCAGACCCAGGTGTTCGAGTGCCCGTAGACTTTCTGTCCAATCCCAGGCTTTAAACTTCGAAAAGAACATAGTGGAATCAATTCTGCGTTTCTGTTAGAAGGGCAGGTGGAAAGAAGTAAAAATTCTGGCACCTATTCCCCAGTGAAGTCTGGAAATGGGAAGGCTGAGGAGCAAAGGTGGAGACTGGCAGCTGGGGAGGCCCCGCCGCTGGAGGCTGGCCCGGCCGGCCTCTGGGAACTTCGGTCTCGGAAGGGTCCCCACCGTTCCCTGAGAAGTGTGGCTCACTGTGCCGCAGCTCTGTACAAACAACGTGTTATGCTGACATCTCCTTTCCTTTTGAAAGCCTGGAATTTTAGTTTGTACCAGGCACAGGCTGCCTAGGTGACCCGCCCCTATAAAACCTGGGCACTGAGTCTCTCTCTGATGAACTTCCCTCGAGGAAAGATTTCACCCACGGTTGACACAACTCACTCACTGCCCGAGGAACTGTGTGTGCTATGGGACTGCTGGGAGCCTGCGCCTGATTTCTCCTGGATTTCCTCTTTATATTCTTCCTCTATGAACAATGACAGTCATTTCTACCGCTCGGTGGGGTCCTGTGAGCCCTCCCACAACCACTGAATCTAGCAATAATCTTGGGGACCAAAAAACACACGGAATTCTCCCTGCATCCTTATTTGTTGTAAGTCATTACATTATGTTGCCTAACAATAGCAGAAAACTGGCAAAGTATAGGAAATTGCACCAAAGCAAGATATTAACAATTCTTTAATCAAAAGGTTTCCCCCCAAAATTTTGTATTATATAGTTGAGGTCTTAATGAAAAGGTTATTTGTATCCTGCTTTGTTGTTTGTCTTCATTTTTTGTTGTTGTTAACATATCAAAAGCCATTCCCCGTGTGTTTGAAATTCCTTGAAAAGATTATTTTAATGGATGCATAATGTTCATAACTAGCTTGCTCATTTCCTTAAATCTTTTAGTGTTTTCAGATTTCACTGCTATAAATAATGCTGCAGTGGGTATCTTTGAGCCCTACGTCCACTGCATACATTTCCAAAGTAGATGTCAGTGCCCGGAAAAGGAAAAGGAAGCCAGAGCGTGGATACCAAGTTCACATGACTGCTGACCTCAAGGGCCCTGAGAAGAGATGCCAAGTTTGAAAAGAAACCTCCAGTAGTAGTTTCAATGACATATACTCAACTCGGATTATTGAGTAATGACTCTGTCCCAAGACATGGCCAAATAATTGTGTTTGTTCAAATAAACAACAATAACCATGGGTTTATCTAGTCAGCTAAGGTTGTAATGAGACCTCAGCTGGGCAGCATTTTCCATGTAGAGAAAATGTGTTTTAAAAAAAGAAGCTTGAAACATGTAAAATACATTGCAGGCATTGCAAGCCTACAAAATCAGCTCTTTGAAGAGCTAGAATATCGGAAATGAGGCAGAAGGGGGAGGCCTTAAATGCCGATGTCTAATGAGGCACTGGAGATTGCACGATGTCTCCCAGGAAGGAGTAGAGGTAAGTCTGGTGGTGACGGATGGGATGAAGGGGAACCAGGAGAGAGTGGAGGCAGAGAGGCCCAGAGGTGCAAAATTGGGGGAGGTTTTGATGGACAACAGTAGGAAGTACAAGGAAGGAAGGAAGGGAGTGAGGGAAGGAGAAAGAGGGAGAGGGAGGGAGGGAGAGAAAGCCAAGGATAGTGGAAACAGAGCTGACTTCAAAGGTAGTCAGACTTAGTTTGAATCCCAGCCCAGCTATTTATCAGCCATGTGATCTGAGCAAATCACTTAAATGAACTCTGAAGCTGTTTCCGCAACAGAAACGGCAATACCAACATTGTAAGTGATGATGAATTTGAGAACCAACATCTATAAAGTATGTGGCAGGGCGCCATGCAGTAACTGGGTAGTCACAATGAAAGTTGCCATGAAAACACGACCAAGGAATGACGGGTAAAACTTGGTCATTACCTACATATATGGAAGAGGAGAAGAAATAAAAAATGTTCCAGAGTATCAAGCCTGGGGAACAGGAAGAGTGATGGCCACTATGGAAAGCGTTATGTGCAGACACTCTTATAACACTTGTAGATATTACCTCATGTAATGCTCACATCAACCCTGTAAGTTAAATATTAATGTTTTCATTTTAAAATAAAGATACTGAGACTTAGAGAAAAGGCATAAGTTGTTCAGGTCAGTTGAGCTACTCAGTAGTAAGGTTGAGTACATTTGTAGACTCGGGTTTAGAATCATTTATATTTTACCAGTGTGGAAACTGAGGTCAAGTAAGTTGCAAAATTTACCTGAATTCACACAACTGGCTGGTGGCAGGGCTGGAATAAACCTGGTCTCATGATTCACTGTGAAACTACAAAGGGTCAGCTCGGTGGGAAAGAGGACACGTGTGAATTGTTGTTTCACATGCATAACGATGGACACGGTGATAGTTATTTTCAGGTAGAGATGTCTGGCCAAATGTAAGACTGAAACTCAGGAAAAGTGTGTGGACGTAGACCTAGGCGTCGCCTCCAAGAGGAGATGGCTATTAACGCAGGAGCAAATGAGCTCCTAAAGGGAAGAGTCAAAAATACAAAAGATAGGACAGCTGAATAGAAGCTTCATGCACCACATGTGAAGGTCAAAAGCAGAAACAGCAGGAGACCTAAATAAAGTCTGGGCATTCTGAGTACATCACAGTTAACAGAGCTGAAGGCTGCGAATAGATCAGGGGATGGAAAAGGGGCCAATCATTGGGTTTCAGGATCAAGCAATTGCCCATGAACTTGGGAAAAACAATTTGGGACCAATGGACACAAGTGGTTTAGGAATGCACAGGAGGCAAGATCCAAATGCAGATCTCTCTAGAAGCTTGCCAGTGCAAGAAAAGAAAGAGAAAAAAATGCCTAAATAAAGTGGCAAGATTCTGATGAAAGACTGCTTTGAAGGAGAGACGGTGCTAGCACATCTGAAGAGGCCCAAGGTAAGAAGAGTCTGAAGATGCCTGGAGAGAGGAATCTGTCTGAAGGTGCACAAGTCAGAACAAGCTGGTGAACCTCCGTGGGGAGCCCAGGAGAAGTGGTCAGTCTTGGGAAGGCGGCAAAACATATGCAACTTGAAAGGAAAAAGGAACAGGTGAACATGCAAAGAAATTTCATCGGACTGGGCCTGCAGAGTTGCTATTATGTTCCTGCTCCCACGGACCTTGGTAACTCAGAGCGTGCCAAGTCTGTCTGCCAAGGATTTTTCCATGAGTCACCCAACACCGGGGAGCCTTGACCCTATCTGTCTGCCAAGACCTGTCATATTATAAAATGGAGCTTTTTTCCCCAACTCACAGGCAAATAAATCCATTCAATACACCAACACTTGGGAAGTGCCCGCTTACATCTTACTACTAGAGCATCTTCTCATGGAAAAGCCTGTGCGTTAGAGAGCAAAGGGATTCCTAGACTTGAAATCACATTTCTGAGCATCCATTTACTTGTTACAGTTTGATTTTTATAACACTTAAAATATTTCGCCCAAACCAAAGAAGGTTTCATTAGTAGGATGCTACTCAGCATCTCTCTCCTCCCTGGTTGGGGCAAATTAGTTAACAAAACAGAACCCTTGAGGATACTTAACTGATTCTCCAAATTAACCAGAAAGGAGATCACTTAGAAAGAGGAAGCCTTTTTCTACCTTTAGTCTTCACACCGAGGAACTGATCACTCCTCTGCTAATGAAATTCTCTATTTAAAATGACGTCATTGTGGACTGTGAGCCTGTGAGTGCACCAGCTTCTCCTTCACAGTCTGTGCACAGCCTGGCTCAGCACCTTAAACTGAGCCACAACCCTGAGTTTGCTATCACTCCAATGGCATGCCACAGGCAGGGTGGCAGGAGGGCCCGCCCCACATGCAGGCAATAAGGGGTGCTCAGTTTGCAGAGAAAACAATAAAACCAACCACAGGTGGCTCTGCTTGCATTCTTAACAACGTCAGTGACAAGACGCACCTCCCAGCTGGGCGCCTCGCCCTGGGTACTCCATTGTCTCTTCCCTGGCTAGTTACCCTTTGCATTCTGGGATGCATGTGCTGTCCCATTCTGGGTCCATTCCAGCTCCAAAGTTGGAGCTCCTCTGCAACCAAGCCTCAGTCTGAGAACTACAGAGCCCCGACACATGAGATGGAGGAGTGGAGAGGAAGGGAAGGAAGAGGCGAAAGGCAAATGTAGTCCTGAGGAAGTAGATCACTTCTCAGTGAACCCAGACAGCCACAGGTACAACCCTTGGCACTCCCAGCATGCCCCTGTCCCACACGGCAGCATCTTCCACACAGTGCCTAGAAATTCCACAAATATTTGATTCCTATCAGTGGGCTTGGTAATTGGGCGACAGCTGATTATCACAGACTGACATCCCAGAAGCACCTCCAGAGCTGCTGTGGGTCAGAAGAGACTGTCCCAGCAGGCAGCCCTGCTGCTGCCCCATCTGTCTCTGCTGCACCCCACCCCCGCCTGTCCTGGCTCTCCCACAGGCCCGAACCCCTGAGGGCGGAGGTGCCAAATAAAATAAAAGTATTCCCCTGATTTAAAACAAAAGTAAAAGTTTGGGGCTTTTCCTTTCCTTCCACCATCTCCTTCAAGTCGAAACTCGAGCTAGTTGTCCACCAGCCTAGCATCGTTTTCCCCATGGCCCTCAGCAATACTGACGTGTAAAAACAGTTGGAGCATATGATACTCTTATTAAACAAGAAGCCAGAGAAAAAGAAGAAAGAGATGCAAAAGCAGAAGAAGAGTTCAACCACGAGAAACATCATCCTGTGCAAACCCAGAGACTGAAGATTATGGAATACCATAAGAGAGAAAGGCAGACAGAGCAGCAGGAAAAAATTCCTGTGTCCAACCTGATGAATCAAGCAAGACTCGAAGTCCCCAGAGTGAGAGATGACCTTATTATACACCTACTAAATGAAGCAAAACAGAGACTTGGCAAGGAGGTAAAAGATACAACCAGGTACCAAGTGCTGCTGAATGGACCGGTCCTCCAGGGTATGTACCAGTCATTGGAGCCCCAGATGACTGTTTGTTGCTGGGAACAGGATTTCCTGCTGGTAAAGGCTGCAGTGCAAAAAGCTATCCCTATGTGCAAAACACCCACCAAAAAAGATGCTGATGTCCAAATTGATCAGGAGGCCTACCTGCCTGAGAAGATAGCTGGTAGAGTTGAGATCTATAACGAGGATTGTAAAATAAAGGTTTCCAACACCCCAGAAAGCCGGCTAGATCTCACAGCTCAGCAGATGATGTCAGACGTACAGGGAACCTTGTCTGGTGTAAATGCCGCGAAGTTTTTGGACTAAGCCTTTGGGAGGCAGTTTATGTACTGCTATGATGTGGAAGTTTCTGCTATCTGAAGAGTCCGGATTATCTATAAAGCTTCCTCTTTGCTGTGCTAATATTCTGTATTTATCAATAGATATCCTTCTGTACTAATGCCTCTGGCCTAATTGTTAACAATGGGAGAAGGTTTCATTCTACATGATCGGGAAACCTACCTCTAGCTAATCTAGAAGTAACACAACTTTTAGCTGCTTCTGTATCATGAAGGTGAAGACATTAGGTGGTGATTGCACAGACTTCACCCAGTCTGCTCTTCCTCTGCTTCCAGTTACTATTCTCGAGGCTACGTGTACGGTGCTCTCTGCCACTGAGTCCCTGCTCTTTAGGCTGAACATACATGTGGCGCATGGGTTCCTTCCAGCAGTAGTAGCTCCACTGTTACCTGTTTGGGCCTAGAAGGCTCCTTACCTATAAATGTAATATGAAATCCAAGCCCTGGCTGGTGTAGCTCAGTGGATTGAGCACGGGCCTGTGAACCAGAGGATCACGGTTCGATTCCCAGTCAGGGCACATGCCTGGGTTGCAGGCAGGTTCCCTGCAGGCCAGTTCCCTGCAGGGGATGCACTAGAGGCAACCATACATTGATGTTTCTCTCCCTCTCTCCTTCCCCTCTAAAGATAAATAAATAAAATCTAAAAAAAAATTAAAAAAAATAAATGTAATATGAAATCCAAGCCATAATGCTTTATTTATAAAAACAAAAGGTTTGTGTGAAAAATAGTAGGACAAAATAAATTAAAATAAAAAAAATTTTAAAGTAAAAGCTTTAAAATCTCTCTTATAGCATTAACTTTTTAATAAGACAATTTTCTAACCAAACAGAAAATGATGTTTGCACTACAGTTCTTCTCCGCGTATCACCCTATGGACCTTGATGTTCCCTGAGAAACTGCTGAGGGAAATGGAACGCCTTCCTCGGCAGACTGCTCTTTGCAGACTGAAGGGGCAGGATAACCTTCGATAATGGAGGACAGCTCTTGAGTCTAGTGCTTTAGAATCCTGGATATTAAAGCACCTAGGTCTGTTGCACATCTTTTGTCATAGGCCCCAGATGCCAACAGGCACATCCGTCAACTTTCAGGCTGGCACCCACCAGCTGTGACAGAACAAGACTGTGTGACTCAGCTACAGTTTCCACATCCCCGCGTGGGAGTTGAAGGGAAGAGGGAGTATCAATGCTCACGCAAAAACTACAGTCCTCAGCATGATGGGGAGGCTTGGCAACTCTGATTAACTTCTCCCCACCTCAAAACCGGCCTGTGGCCTCAAAGAATCACCCATCCCACCTCAACAGCATCCTAAGGAAGTAAACACGGGGCCTGCCAGAGAAACTCACATGCTGCCAGCGTGAGGTTGGCACATGTTATCAGTGCTTTCCTGTTCCTTTGGGGCCGTAACACTTAGAGAGCAGCTGAAGGCATTGGGAGGAGGAGGAGGAACAGGAGGTGCAGGGCAAATGCAGCTCCTGAGGAAAAGTCCCAGGCCCCCCTCTGGAGAGACTCAGGAGCGCCCCTTCCCGCTCTCACTGTGTGCCCGGGTCTGCTGCGCAGTCTGACTCCGCCCGATACTGTCGAGACTTACCCCCAAGATCACCCCAGCTCCAGAAGAGCCCCCGCCATAATCACTCCCACATACACACAAAAGCAGTTTTCTTCCTTCCTGTTTTGAAATTGAAATGATTGCCCACTGGAGGGTGCTATTTTTATGCATCATAAAAACCTTAATATTGATAATCATAAAAAATTGATAACAACCTAAAGGGTTTTAAAATGATGGGGTCATTTTAAAATGACCACATGAGGTCATTAGAAATGGAGATTTTAGACTTATTGCAGCGATCATTTCACTAATACAAATACTGAATCATGTCACACACCTGAAACTAATAGTGTTATATCTCACTGATACCTCAATTTAAACAAAAGTTTTTTAAGATGTTGACAAATAATTTTTAATAAATTTGCAAAATGATCTCAAAATAACTAAAATCTTACAAAATAAGGAGGCCACAAGACTACAAAAACATCTAAACCCAAATTATTTTTAAAATGCAAGTAGCATAAAGAAAATATAACAGAAAACTAATAATATGAATGAATTTTATGAGTAGCTTAACATGAAGTTCTTATATTCATAGTAACTAATTTTTAAATGAGATGTTTGTAAAATATATAGTTAGCATCATATTAAGTCTTTGTTTTGTACATATATACAACATAAATATAATAAACAGTTATTTCCAAAATAAGTTCGAATAATAACAACTTACAGGTATACAATTATACAAAGTTTTTAAAACTTTCAAGTATATTATTCATTATTGAATAACGACAATTATTAATTCATTATTGAAAGTATGACAATTACTTTCACCAAATAAACTATAAGAAAAAAGTCAAACAAGAAGGTTTAAATATATAAAAAATATAAATTAATGTTTAAATAAGTGAAATACTTAGAAATCTTCAGGATCCAATGGGCAGAGTTTAAAGTAAAACAATGGTGCTCCTACTACTTCAGGGGCTTAAAAAATGAACAACGAATAAGAATCATATATTTCTCCCACCCGTATAACATACTCCAAACCAGTTTTAAACTCAAATTATAAATATCAAAATATCAGTGAGTACATCTACCAGTGCAGTGCGAATCATAAAGCATTAAACAAGTTGTCTTAAAAAGCATCGGTTTAGACACGTCTAAGTCCTCTTACCTTTCATAAGACACAAGCTTATGGTGATCATTATAATGAGACCTATGAAAATGGAGAGGATAGCCATCCACAGTTTACACTTTCCAAACAATTTCCTATTGCAGGAGCTCCAAGGGCTTTTCTGCTTAGCCTGAAAAGCAGAGGGAGACAGTGAGGCGGACATTTGGTTTCAACAAGCACGTTTGAGTACTTAGCATGGGCAGTGACACAGAAGTGAAGGCCGCAGGATCCTGACCTCAAGGGACGACATTTTACCGAGTCACGTTTACAAACAGGTAGAAAGGAACTTCATAAAAGTTAGCATGAAAATGGCCTAGGGATTCACAGGTGGGGGGAAAAGCAGGATTTTGAAGGTTAGGCAGAGGGAAGTATTCCAAACCCAGGAAAGAGCACCCTTGGTGTTGATTCATGATGGAAATGGCCAAGAGACTCATGGGATTGATTTTCGGGTTTCAGGAGCAAGTAAGGAGAGTGAAGATTAGAAAGAGTGGAAGGCTGGTGCGTGTTTGAGAGGGTTTTGAATGTTGCCAGAGCAGTTTGGACTTAACTGGTGTGTACTGGGAACCTGATGAAGGTTCTGAAACACAAAATCTGAATTAAAGATGCAGAGAAAGGCATTGAGTAGTTTAGAGCGACTTAGCCTCGAGAAAAAGCTAAGAAGCTCCTGTGGCGACCCCGACTCTACGTAACAAAGGCCTGGGAAGGGAAGGGAGAGGCACCAGAAAATAAGCTGTAATGGGCCTAGTGATTCACAGTGTGGGGTCAAATAAAATAATCATGGCCAACACCGTTTCACTTCATCCTAACAGCCCTGCAGGGAGGCTTTAGACCATTTAAAAGATGCAGCTCAGAAGCAGTGACCTGGACTGACCCCTGCTGTGTGCCACTGTGAAGCTGGGGCGCTCTCTGTCTTGTCCTCAGCCTCTCTGTGTCACTGTGCAGAGCTCCAGGCTATGAACAAGGCTGGTGGCCACGGGGCTGCCTCCACTCCCAGCATGACCGCCTGCTCCTAAATGTCCCCGGCCCTTCTCCTGCTTCCCACTGGGCCACTAGGTAATTTCCACATGGACACCATGGGAAATAATGGTATGTGAAGGGGGAAAGTGTGTTTCTGTATCAGAATTCCAATCCCACTTATACCACTTAAAGTCAGGGTGACCATCAGCAAGCTCCTAACACTCCCGGTCCCAGTGCCCTCAACTGTAAACACAAATAATAAATGTAGCTCACCAGGATGTTGTAAAAACTAGAGATCACGTATGTGAAGTACTTGCTAAACAAATATCAGGACCTCGACAAATGGGCGCAATCATTACTAAGTGTTCACCTGTCCCACAAAGCAACTGCAGGCCCTTCCAGATGCTCGCTCTCAAATTAACTGACAGCTTGCTCGGTTTTTCTCCCATCATGATTCTGGGGGTGGCCATCAGAAAACCGTCTGTCCCGTTTGAACTGTGCACAGTTCAGACATTCTCAGTGAGAGGTTCCTAAGCCTGGCTGCAATTGGAAGCACCTGAAGAGTAATTTAAACTACAGAGACCAGGGTCCTGCCAGGACCTAGAGGGCCAGATCGTAGGGAGGTGGGGGCAGGTGCCAGTTTATAATTTTAAACTTCCCCAAGTAAATCAACTGCTTTTACCAGGGTTGAGACCTCTGGTCTGAGGCCTTCTCACTCTTCAGGGGCAGGTCAAATCTGTCCTTTTGTGGAGGCCTCCCCACCACGGCACCCGTGGAGAGATGTCCCACCACGGACGTTGTCCACACATCTGCCGCTGCCTTGTCTGGTTTCATGTTCAAATACAGACACTGGCCTTGTCTCCTTAGCTAAAGCGAAAGCATATCAAGGGAAGGGTGGTTCTCAAACCTCCCCATTCTTACATCCCACTCTTGTGAACCATACAGATAACAGGCAGTTACTAAAGTGCTGCTGAGTGACAGAGGGCTCCAACAATTTTAAGAATGTACTCGAAACCGGATCATGGAGACACACTGCCCCCCTCACTGGCTGCTTCATCCTCTTTTGCCCAAATTTTAGGTCATGACGAGAAGCCACAGGCAGGTAGGTTCTTCTGGAAGGTGACTTAGAGTTTTTTGCAAACTGCATCTTACATTCCATGATTACAGTAAGGGACTCAAGAATTTGTGTGGCTTTCCAAATACAGGACAAAGGTCCTTCAACAATGGCAGGACTGCCTATCTCTTAGATACAAAAAGCTTTTCTTCCCTTTGGCTGAATCAGGGACAGATATGGCATAGATCTGGGACAATTTTCTTAGCAGCAGGGAACTCTGTACTTTAAAATCTCCCTTGTGGGACTGAATCCACTTGATCCAAGCACAAAAGCCAGTTGATTCTTGTCCTAAATTCTAAACAACTCATTGAACCTGAATCTTGTGTTTGTGCTACCCAATGTTTAAAAACTCTACATTAGTTGATTTTTCAATTTAAAATACACTTCAACTTATTCTACGGAACCAAAGAGAAAGATCAACACATTAGATAAGGGTTTTTTCCTCTTTGTAACCTTTTTAAAAAGTGTTTCCCATTCAAGCATTTCTAAAATGCTTTTCAAAAGTTCATGAACCCTTCACCTTCACGCCATTCAGTCACTCAACCCAAGTTTCCTATTCAGTGACATACAAAGCAAATGCACAAGGAACTCTAGGATACTTATGTATACCTGACTCAAGAGGAAGTAATTAGAACATGAAAGAGCAATCTATACCAGGCAGGTACTAAACAACTGTAAAATACTGATGTCCTACATGTGCTTGGCATTTTCTTCCACCCCACTGTTTTCATCAAGACACAGCCAGGCCTCACAGAGACTAACCACAGTACATTCCACCACGAGACAGCGGGGAAAATACAGACCTTCACACCTTGCCCTGGGACACATCTTCTAGCGGTGATGCTGTCACCAGGATCTCTGGCTTCAGTCCCAAACCGTGAAGTCTTTGGGGTGCCTTGGGTCTATCTCACATGAGGCAGTATTTCCAGTTTGCATCCCTACGCACTTCATGGAGGACTGATATAGCAAGCCACAGTGGTGGCCACTTGCACAAGAATTGGACCACCTTCCTCCAACTTTCGGTGGTTCATCTGTCATTCCAATATAAGGTACCACGGTACTCTCCAGGGTACCTGTAGGTCTACAAAAGCAGACTTCACAATATTCCCAGGAGTCAATGTGGAAGCAAAAATCAATGCTTTCACCACTGGAATTTCCTGCTTATTCCCAGAAGGAACAGTTAAGCAGCCAAAGGGTGGGAGAGGAGGAGTGGAGTTAGAAATAGCAGGATGGAGCCATGTACCTGGGGAGTTCCATGTACCCAGTACAACTGAAGCCAGCCTCAGAGGTTAATCACAAGCTACAAGGCTGCGTATTCCAAGTCTCTGCTGTTTTACAAGCATTTGATGAGGATGAATAATGCTCCCGTCACTGCTACGGCTTAGAGAAAGGAGTTCAGCCAAAACATTACCAAAGACTTCCTTAAAGACCAAGTTGAGGCTGAAGCAAATGAGACGCAGCCTGGTTCTTTGGGACTAAAACTTTTAAATTATTTCTCTTCATAATGTCCCCCCCCAATCCTTGTTGTTCTTGCTGCCGTTTCCCCCCTTGCCATCTCTCTTGCTGTGAAATCGAGTGGCCACACCGGTTAAAGACATCAAGTGTGTGTTTAGCAGGTGTGCGCCAGGCTGGGGGTGGCGGACGGTGGGCGAGAGGCGCGCGGTGGGAGGGAGCAGCGAGGTAGTAAGACGGACGCCAACAGATTCTGAAGACGAGGAGAAGATACTGTCTATCACTAGTTCTCTCTACTCGATAAAGAAAAAACCTAAATTAAAAGATACAGGACTTTTTTCAAATCACCTCCTCCTCTAGGGATTCTCCCTCGGAAGAGAGCAGCCACGCACCTCCTAGGTAGGATTCGTCCAGTCCCACGGGGGCCGAGGGCCGAGAGGGGCCCGGGGCGGCTCCGGCTGCAGGCGTTGCGGAGTCGCTCCGCGGAGAACCACCCGGCGCGCACCACTCGAACGCAGCGTCCGCGGCGGCGCCGAGAGAACCGGCTGGAAACCCGACACCGCGGGTGTCAGGCTCGGGTCTTGGCGGGGAGCCCCGATCCGAGTGCGCTCGGACGGCGCAGCCGGCGCCAAGAGACCTTACCTGGGCTGGACTTCGCTCCTCGGCCGGGAAGGGGACGATCTGGACGGCTCCATTGAGAGGCGTCCGCTCGTCCGGCTGCCTCTGCACCTCCGAGAGCTCCAGCTCGTCTCCCGGCGAGGGGGGCCTGGCTCCTTCCATGGACAGCAGGCCAGGACGAAACGGGCCGCGGGGAAACCGGCAGCACACACCCGAGGGTGCAAAGTCCAGAGCTGCCTCCGGGGCGGCGCGCTCTCCACCCCGGGCGGTGGGACAGGGGGCAGGAGGGGGCGGGGGGAGACCTCGGGCTGCGGGCGGGGCCGTGGGCTCGGAGCAGAGCAGAGGAGGGCTGTTTTTCTGGTTTGTTCAGGGCGCTGCCTGCATTGCCGGTCCCTGTGCTTGCTGATAGGAAGCCGAAGCCGAGCCTTGGGCTGGCTGGCTGGAGGTCTGTGGCGCGGATGGCCTGGCCCTGCCGTGCCGCGGAAGGAAGTCGGCATTCCACCGCCAGGAGCGGTCTGCTTCTGGGACTTGACCCAGCTTTCGCTGCCTAGCAAAAGTTCGTTCCTTTAATGAACAAATAACTATGAAGCAGCTTTTGCTGCCGGCAAAGGTCCTGAGCATATGAAGATGAGTAGTAATACACAAGAACACGCTCCTGCCTTTTACAAGTCCATGGGGCCGGCAGAGACCGGGTCCATGGTGGAAGGGACAGCTGGCCCTGGAGCCAGACCGCCCAAGTGACTTCCCTCTCACAGGGCTCCTCACTCTGAGACCTTGGGCGTCAGTTCCCTGGTCTGGAAAGTTAGCATAATATTACTGCCCACCTAATGGAGTTGTTGCCAGGGTTCAAGGAGTTGATGGATGTCAGTGAAACAAACACTCACAACAACGACTGACACATAGTGAATATTCATAAGTGCTGTATATTACTTTCTACATTTGTGAAGAGGAGTAACAGCCCCCACCACCACATACATGCCCCTACACACCCTGGGGGGAGAGTATACACACCCACACACGATCCATAGTTCACAACTTCTGGCGTCAGGAGCCTGCAATCATGTTTGCTAAGTTGGGTATGTACTGCTTCTGTCCAGCTCCTGTTCAGAGCAGGCTTGCTTCCCTGCTTCCCACCCCTGCCCCCAACACACACACACTGAGAGCAGCTTGAGGTGTGGACAGGACGTGTATAAACGAGCTCCACTTCGGAAGACCTTGACTTGTGGCACCCTCACTGCCTGTTCAGACACTGCCTGGATATTAGGTCTCTAGCTGTCTAGTACCTGCTCCCAGATCCTCTGGACCTCGGACTCCATCTGCCTGCTGATTGCAGTCACTCAGCTGCCGGCTTGCCCTGACTTCTGCTTTCTCTGCTTTTTCTATATTAGAGGCAGATCCTGCAGGAATCGACTACATTCTCCGCTGGAAATTTTTGTGTAATGGAAGAGCAGGGTTAAAGAAACCAAGAAGGGGCACTGAGGCACCTAAGGAGTAGGCAGCACCAGCAGAAAGCCATCATCACCCTGAGGACCACTGAGGAGGGCCCTGCTGATAGAATCTGTAGTCACAAAAGTTGCCACCACTGTCAGAACTACAGCCCAGCAGAGAGAACTAAATATTCTCATCTCTCTCCTAAACTGCCAGTCTGCTGCCTGAGATTTCTACTAGAAACTGGGGATTTAGACTGGGTTCCAGCCTCCCGGGGCTCAGAGCACAAAATGAGTCTGAGGTGCAAAGAGAGAAGACCCTGAATGTGTACCTTTCCCTGCAATGACTGACATATAGTCTCTCCTCTCAGACATTCAGTAGTCAGTAGACCCCTCTGGTCCGACCGGATTCCTCCTCCTGGCAGGCCCTTACCCAGCCTATTTTACTGCCACCCCCACTTCTTCGTATGTGATGTTTGCTCTGCTAGAAATATTTATCCTCCCACTCCAGCTCACTTTCTACATGGACAACACCCATTTACCTTTGAATCCCAGCTGAAACACGGTTTTTCTAGTAAGCCTTCCCTGACTCTGCTCCTCCACCAAAGTTATCCATACTCTTCCCTGCTACCAATACCTATTGTGCTGTGCTTAATGTGCCACATATTTCATCCAATTTAATTTACTAAGGAGTACTGCGTGCTTGCTATGTGTCAAGCATACTTCTGGGTGCTTAAGTTATATATGAAGAGATAGCTGAATATAAATAAAGCTTATATTTAATGAGGGAACCAAACTTAATAAATAATGTTTCTAGAATGTTAGAAGGCAATGTGTGTTGTGGGCTAAAAAGTCTATCAGAGTAAGAGAAGCTGGAGTGCTGAGTCGTGAAGGCTGGGGGAAAAGAAAGAGTTGACATTGTAAATAAAGCGATCAAGTTACACCTCATTCAGAAGGTGAAATAAGTCCTGGGGATGGAATGCACAGCATGGTGACTATGATTAATAATACTGTATTGCATGTTTGGAAGTTGCCGAGAAAATTGAGAGCAGGATGGCGGCTGGGGCTGGGGGTGAGGTTAGGGGGCACAAGGACTGAGCAAAAGGGAAAAAGGACTCCTGGACATGGACAATCGTGTGGTGACTGGGGGGGACAGTGTAAGGGGACTAAATGGTACAGGGAGAGTATACAACAGAGGTTAAATAAGAATCAAATAAAATATTTAAGTTTTTAAAAAAGTTTTACTGTGAGAAAAAATGTGTTCCTATGTATGGAGATAGACGTTGACTTACTGTGGAGATCACTTTATACAAATATCAATTACTTATCTTGTACACTGGATGCTAATGTAATGTTATTTATTAAATATGCCTCATTGTTTAAAGGTGAAATTTGAACGAAGGGTTGAAGGTGGTAAGGGAGTGAGTTAGCTGCTCAGATGGTGAAAAGACTAGGGAACTCCAGCACAAAGGGCCCGACACTGGCACCTCTGAGAATCGGGAAAGAGGCCAGAATGGCTAACGTAAAATACGACCAGTAAATTTCTCTCGTCTTTCTTCTTCATTGGTTAAACTTTGGAGGTATCTATGTATGCCCAGTGCATAGCTCTTCGTCCAGCACAGTGTTCCCTATAAGTGTTGATCAACTCGAATAATATTCTCAGCAGTGATGGTTTCTAGGCCCAGGGCTCGAGACCACAACTAGCAGCACCAAGACCTCTCGAACTCGACTCCCATCTTTTCCCGGGGCCCAGACAACCTTTCTCTTGGTTCCCTTGTTGACTGTGGGATCTCAGCCTTAGTGGGAGATTTCCTGTCCTGTCCGATGGATTGCAGCTATCTTCCAAACTATCTTCTCTCCATGAACAGATGCCTACCATCATCTTCACTCCCCCAAAGGATCAAAAAGCCTTTTTTTCCTGTCACAAACACACTCAAAACTAGATTTCCTCATACCTTCTGAGTATGGCAAAACAAAGTTTGTGTGTTTTGTAACCTAGACCACATTTCTAGAATTCCATGAGCCTAACCCCTGTATGCAATTGGCATCCACAGGGCAGTGTAGGTTTTGACCACAGGCAGAATTAGAACTTTCACAATCTAGGTGTTCTCAGGCAAGGTTTAATGTGAGATTCTTGACTCATTGCAAGATAAGTTTTACTCAGTAAAGTTAGGAGGATTAAATAAAGCAATCAGAGTAAAGCATTTATTACTGTGCCTGGCTATAGCAGAGACTCAGTAAATATTCCCTTACATTCTATCAGCATAAGTATCTTTGCAACTGATACCCACCCATGACCTTTAGCATCCAGCAATAACCCTTGATTCAATATATTTTCTTACAATATTAATTGGTCTTCCTGTCCTGCCATATTTGCTTGATCACAGACACTTGCTGGCACCTCCCAATATTACCTGAACCTCTTAAATTCTTACTTGCAACCGGTTCCTGATTTCCTGTAACTGCAGATTTCTTCACCTCCAGACAGCTGACCTAGAATGGAGATGAGCAACCCAGCCTCTACAGGAGGACTTTTTTTTATCCTCCTAGGCTGGCTCCAAACTAAGAATTCAAAACAAACTAGAAAGAAATGTTTCTTCCAGGAGGTAGAACTGAGTTTAGATTAAACAATTCTTGATGAAAGTTAAAGATTAGTGAATGAGGAACCAGATTCTACCTGGATTTCTTTGTGCAATTTCTTCAAAATCTATTCCTATGCAGGTAGCTTTTTAAAGGTCTTGCTCTTTCATAGATATTTCTTTAAACATCCTTTTAAAAAATGTACTATTATTGCAAAATTTGATTTATTAATAAATTTTAATATGATTTATTAATAAATTTTAATATAATTTATTAATAAATTTTAATATAACTTAAAATTATTTCTGACTCAATTTCTTTAGTTTGTTAAAGGAGTTAAATGTAAATAACATTAAAAAATTAAAACATCCTTGTTTCCAAGACTTGCAGACCAATATAAAATTTTCAATTTTGCTTTTCTTGTCGTAGCAAAGACGTTTTGCCCTTCTTCCTGTCCTCTTTGAGAGCAAATAATTTCCCAAGTGATTATTTTATAACCCCCCAAATAAACTAACATCATCGAAGTGATATCATCAAAGAACCAAAGCATCTTATTACCTACAAATAGATCTGTTCTCTTGAAAACTCAACAGTTTCTACTTACATGTTGTTAGAACACCAGAAATTGAGTCAGCCACTCAGGCTAATCAAACAAAAATAACTGAAAAATACTTTCTTGGCTTGTGACGTTTCATTTTGCAGGTTTTGAGGCACTCATGAAGAAGGATATGAATCCCTACCAATTCTTCCCACTTGCAAACACTCCTGTCTTAGTACAGGAAAGCCATTTCACTCTGCCAACTAATCCAGTCTTAGGATTTGCCTCTATTCACACCTTTGCAAGCGTGAAGTGGTCATGCCCATAGAGTTCAGGTTCTCAGGGCATCTTGGCATGAAATAGCCAAGTAAGTCAGGTTGGTGTTTTCCAACCTTCTCCCCACCTCTGCACTGCTGCGGAATATGCTGCACTCTCACATTTGCACCAGCAAGTGTTCAGGGTGGTAGCATGCATGTGTGGTTTGAAAACTCCCTCTGAGGAACCTGATAAATCTCACCAGCCCTCCTCCTTCTCCTAACCGAGATCACAAACTGACGCAAGGTTTTGGTGTGTTTTGTTGGGTAGCAAATCTTCTTAGAAATGACCAAAAGTAAAAAATATAATTTACCTAGTATCTAGGTCCCGGCAATACCAAGCAAAATAAAGGTAGACCTGAAGAACTGTTGGCCTAA